ATATAGTTTAGTTTGGATACTGTCGTTATTTTTTATTCAAATTTTCATTAAACTACGCTTAAGTAAATAAGATTGTATCAGTTTTTAATTTAAAGATGAGTAACTTTTTTCTAATTTTAATTAAGTTCGCTTGGTAGAATTTAACTCAATTATTGAAATGATCTCGTGCCGAAGATAGTCATGTGATATCAGTTTGCGGATATTTCTGAATCTGAGATAGCCTCCATCTTTCAAAAGAATTCAAGATATCCACTATCTTAAAAAAAACCGTTTTATGTAATTTAAAAATGATGAATCATGTCCGTCTATAATAATTTCAGAACCATGTATTTTAAAAGTATTGTATCATGTTTATCATAACTTATACCTGTGTATGTAGGAATATTATCCCTTCAAATTATCTTAAGAAGACATTCCAACCAGAATCATATGCGACCTTTAATGGAAAAATGGGAGCCCAATCCTAGATCGCAAAGTCATTATTAAACTGTATGTTGACTTCATGATGCATTTTGGGAAAAAAGTTTTAAATACACTATTGAAATACATCTCATAATCTTAAAATTTGTATTGTAAAAAATAATCAGGTCATTTTGAAATACATGTACATATGTATTAATAAAACAAACAGCCTTTTCCGTAAAACAGTGATCACTTTGGAAATACCCACATACTGTAAATAGGCTTTGTCGTTGTTGATAGGGTTTTTATTAATCTATCGTAATTTTAAGATATCAGTCATTATCATTATTTATTCCATGTGAATAAGATGATTTATTTCTGATAAAACGACCGTTTACATAGCGTATTATAATCAAAGTACTAAACGAGCATTTTTGCAAAGTGCAATCACATTTTTATTTAGAAATTTGAACCTATACCTGTATCGGATGTATCCGCAGTATTAGTAGTTTAAATATTAAGCAGTTAAGGCAAACATGAGAGTCATTGCCCTTAACAGTCATCTGACAATTGACAAAGGGATGGACAAACTGCAGATTTCGCTGATGGTGATCTGACAAATCTACTAAATTCAAATTTTGAACATTCCTTAAAAGTATCGGAAACTCATAAATGGTAGGTTCTGTTCATGATAAACGATTGTAGCTACAAAGGTCATTGTGGTTACCATGTTGAAATTTTGATCAGGCTGAAAAAAAAGAACATCAAATCATCTCTTTCATTTCTTTAACAAATCAAACTCGAAAAACGACAAAAAGTTCAGATTATTTGTTCTAGATGAGTTTTGTTGGATTTTGGACCGAAGCAATAAAATAAGTTTAATATCACTGCAACTTCCTGATAATGTTTCAGGCCAAATTCGGTTGAAAACTATTCAGGCATTAAGAAGGAGTAGCACTTTGATGCAAGATATATTGTCTAACTTCCCCTTTTTGGGACCCCATCCCCAAATTGTTAGGGATGGAATCAACTTTCTGAATTTAAGAAATGTTTCTCCGTCAACAATGATGTTTCGTACTACATTTGGTTTAAACACATTCACGACTTAAGGAAGAGTAGCATTTTGAAGGAAAATATTGACTTTCTTTCCCACATGGAGCACCGCCCGCCCCAGGTCGCTAGAAGTCGAAATCTCTTTCTGAATTGAAAAAATTATAGCATACCTTTGATAATGTATCAGACCAAATGTCGTTGAAATCTACTCAGAGAAAGTAGAATTTTGAAGCAAATATTGTTTAACTTCCCCTTTTAGGGCCCCGCCACCAAGTCCCTAGGGGTTGAATCAACTATAAATAAATAAATAATCTTTATTTATTTTCCAACAATTGCGAAGCAAGTTTTTCCAATTTATATTAATCGCTCTTGTTGGCTCGGACGGAAGCTCGCGAGAGGTCTTAGTGTGGGAGGAAACCGGAGTACCCGGGGAAAGCCCACATGGTTGGGCAGGTGACCCCTTACCTTTTCACATCCATTACGGGAATCGAACCCCGAACGGCTAAGTGAAAGGCAAGTGCGTTACCACTGCTCTACCCGACCACTGTTTGAGGCCTCGCCCACTCCTAGATCCCTAGAAATCGAACCACTTCCTGACTTTACGAAATGATAACCCATCTTCAGTTATGTTTCAGACCCAATTTGGTTGAAAGAAATTGGTATTAAGAAGGAAAAACGTTTTGAAACAAAGGATCTCATCTCCAAGTCCCTAGGGGTCAAATCAACTTTCTGAACTTTAGAAATCATTCTCCAATAACAATGATATTTCAGTCCAATTTTTGTTGACATGACTTAAAACATTAAGAAAGAGAAGAGTTTTGAAGCAAAAAATTGTAATTAACCCTTTTGGGGTTCTGCCCATCCCCAGGTCTGTCAGGGTTAAATCAAATTTCGGAATTTTAGAACTATTTACTAACCCCTACTGATGTTAAAGACAAAAATGAATGAAAAACACTTAAGCATAAAGCAAGAGCAGTGCTTTCAAGCAAAGTATTGTCTAAAGAATATTTTCCTGTCCCCAAGTCCCATGGGGGCTAAACAACTTTCTATATTTAAGAAATGATTTTCATACTCCAAAGATGTTTCAAACAAAATTTGGTTGGAATCAGCCTCTGTGTAGGTAGGAGCAGCGTTTTAAAGGAAAAGTTTAAGGATGACGGACGATGCACGAGAACGGACGATGCACGATAGCAATAGGTCATCTTTCGGTCCTTCGGATCAGATCACCTAAAAATACTCTTCATTACAGGTTCTTAACAAAATTTCTTTTCATGGCACCTGTGGAATCAAGAAGCCATGGGGCCATATTGGATTTTACAACCCTACTAAAAAAAGGAAGGGAAAGAAAAATAACAACACTTGGTCAGGATCATTTCAGGCATGTGTAAGCTCAAATCTACTTGTGGTACCTAACATGAATTTTAAAAACAGCTATTGTTCAGGGAAACTATGCTTGTTAAGTCATGTTTCATTCTTGTTAGTCTTCATGTCAACCTGCGAGGAATCTTAAAATGGAAAGAAATTAGATACCAGGGTGAAATCCACTTAGTTAGGCAGGTGATCCCTACTTCTTCACATTCTTTCTATGATATCTTTGACATGTTATACTTGGCAGGTTAACAAATTTTCATATTCAATAATGTATTCAGTCTCAAAGAAATAACAATTCACAGTTAAGTTTGAATACTTGCCTATATTTTAAATATGAGGTTGTCTTAAAGTTGTATATATATTTGAAGTGCTATTTATTTTGAATACCAGCCTTATTGATGACATAGCTATATAACAACTACGTACACTCATAAATAACTTTGTGAGCTACACTATTATGATTAGATACACGAGTCAATGTTGATTAATCATGAGTAGTACAATGCATTGATTCCAATGGACACATTACAAAGAATATGCATAAATGGTTTAGATTAATAGTTTTCGTTCTAGATACGAGACAGCTGACTGCAATTTATCGTGAAATATGATATATAGAATAAAATAACAAAAATCAATGAACATTATCCGATCAGGTTTTGAAATGAAAATGAAATGTTAATTGCAGCTCTGATATGAAGCAAGTGATTATAGGGTCCACTGTTTTGCTCCAAATAGGGTTAAACTATTTACAAGATCGGATGACGGAAGAAAGGGATCGTTTTAATGATGTTTATGTAAATTTCTCTGACTTGAAGTGGTCAAACATGAAGCATCACAAATTACTTTTAACAGTAACTTCAAAATAAGAATAAACAAAAACATTTCTTACACGTGTATTTTGGTCGAGAAAGACATAATCTGACCTGACCTTGTAAAATCGTCTTACCGATAAAAATGTGTTCATGTTCACGCATGCGCACTCGTAGCGTTATTGTGCATTGGGGTTGCCATCATGTATACTAAAAAAATAATAAGAAATAATTGACTGAATGTTTGAAAGCATTTCGTTTGAAGCGAATGTTTGAATGTCAGCCATATTGGATTATTGCCCTTGGATTGAACCGAAGTAAATGTCCCATAGTTGAAACAGACTAACATAAATGGTAACTGTAGTTCCAACTCATTCTGGATTATAACAAATGAACATTAATGTTCGTTTATAAACGACAGAAAGTTGCACTATAGCGATCGCAATCGCATAGGTGCTTTGCTCCGATGTACGACGTCAACTTACTCTGGTGCTTGTTCACGTACTGAAAGCAAGTGTTTGTGAAAACTCGTTGAGTCTCAACAGTGTTTTCGTATTTCTAAATGAAAAAAGACGTATTTTAACCAATTTTCAGTCTGTCTTCATATGACAATATAAATCAGTGAGTATTTGTAAGCAATATCGGTTGAGTCGACCGAAGATGTGTAGTATAGGCTGGCACGAGGCTGTTTGAATAATATCAGATGCATTTTATTTGCGAAATCAAAATATTTGGAGCGAATGAAGTGAAACTTGTGGAACCTGCATAAGATTTTGGATATTAGGTATCCACTTAATTACATTTTACACTCACCGTGCACACGACGTCATCAATCGAAAATATTAAGAAAAAAATGTTTTGGATTTTCAACTCGCAAAAAACGTTAAGAAATATTTTATCGAATCAAAATTTACGAAGAATAAAAGTAGATCAATACCTCCACGAATAAGGGAGTTACGACGATTTTCCGATCACCGACGTCACACTGCAGAGACATGCGGGGTTAACTTACTTCTCATTACATGGTTCCGGCTGCTGAGATTTAACCAAAGAAAGTTAACCGCATTAACGACGAAAAATTGTTCTACGAATTTTTAGCCTATATTAGGTTGAAATCCGCTCAAGCTGGTTCGATACTCGGATTGAATCGAAATCAAGGGGTTTTTCTGTGTTCGATTTTACAATCTTGTAGCAAAAATAAATTGAAAGTTCAGACTTCTAACTGTTTTATTTATGAAAATGTTTAGTTGTTTTTTGGGCTTTTTTCCGTATTATTAAGAAACTGATTTAAGAAAACCATTAAATTGCACACAAATACCATCAAAATAGTTTGTGTATAAAACGTTACAAAAAAAATTACAATTCTGCACAACTTTCTTTTTAATAGTCATTAAGAAAAAACATTCTCAATATATATATTCATAAGAACACAAACGTCACGTTCAATGTATGTAGTTCACTACACAATTCTTTGCCGGTGAACTGTCGTCAAATCACGGTTACCTCCCTTTAGCCAAAGCACGCCATCCATGTTCACCTTCATGAGCCAACAAACAACCTCATTCCTTGAAAAGCTTTTTGTTGGTACTAGAAATATTTTGGTTGTAAATCCGTAATAGCGTGTGAGAAAAAGCCTTGGCTTAACACATCACTTCCTAACACTGTGTTTAGTAAATTTTCATTCATGATGTTTTCTTGGGTTTCATGAACGACTTTAACAGTTCGAAGTTTCTGGATATCACATTCTTATCTCCTAATTTAGAAGCCTCTAATGCCTCGTCTGACAATATCGTTTTGATGGATTCTAGGTTTTGGCCTAAAGTTCCTTCTGTGCGTTGTCGTGGTCGTGAATGATTTAAATGAACATTGTCTATGAGCCTTCGCACACTATCGAGCTCAGTGCGACACCTCTTTGAGTCAATGTTCGCCGTTTCCGCTTCTTTAAAAACAAGCATACCTTTTGTTCGAATAAGCTGTGCAATGTCCCTAGATTTCCTTGAAGGGTCTAACGGCCAATCATCACAGATCTTCTTGAAAAGCCGGTATGATTGTGTGGAGCGTGCAGCCATGTTGATGTTGTTTTGTAACGTGGGTTTTGTAACGATTACAGGGAGGTAACTCTATTAACCAATTACCGTATTTACCATATTATGTGTAATATATAAAACAAGACCAAATTGACTATATCACATACTAGTTAAATATCATATAAAACACTCATCAAATATTTATCATTACTATTGGTAGTGGCATTATGGCACAAGAACATGCATGTGTAATTATATATACTTTAACGCAGCTGTGGTTAAATTAATGTTCATTTTGTTTTCATTTTAACTTTGAAACTTATTAAAGTCATATGCATTGCAACGTCACCAAAAACAAGATCTGTGGGATTAATACCATCAGTTGACATTTTTCTACTCTGATGTTGCGTAAGTATTATGTCAGAAGCTGATTTTTTTATCCTCACGGTTTTCATTTTTATGATATGAAACATCGCCAGGGGCTCACTAAAATGAGAGAAAGATCTCGTTCTGTCGATCTGATATGAATGGAAAGACATGAAGCAAGATACTCTATAAATATAGAAAATGTATGTGTTTACAAAATAACTTGCATGATCAGATATAAATTTCCATTGATTCGGCTCAAGTTTATAAACATTGTATAGAATCTGAATATCTGTGCATATGGTCATTAAAAAATTAGTCATGACGCATGTATGTGTGTTGATATAGATATGTCCGTCAGACGGAGTAGACAAGTTTCAGATTATGAGTATCAGTCAGTGTTTTCTCTAAACACAACGAACTTTACTTTAAAAAATGTCCATGTCAAGTGTTATCAACATATTTATTTATTGATATTAATTAATTAATTAATTAATATTTATTTATTTATGTCATAGATAAACTGAATGCATATTCAATCGACGGTCGACAGGAATATTACTGTAACGGTACTGTCTGACTTTCGCGATATTTGATATTTGTATGCATGTGATTAGTGTATTATGTGTGATAGTGTCGAAAGTTTGTATCAGAGACTATCATCTACCTGTTAACAATTGTTTACAAAAGTTTTCATTGTCTCACCAGTGGTAAGTATTACCGGTAAACAGGTGTCATTCTGTGTACACTGTATGTACACAAAGGACCTAGCAAAAAGAAGGTCAGTGATTTAATTCCAAAATGTTAACGTAGGTCTTATAAGTATAAATGCCAATATGATATACAGAAAGTTATACAAATCCAGTTTGTATTAGGTTTCTAACCCTAACTTAACAAATGGATTACGCTCACACCTTTTGGTAACGGCTGATTGGATATCACGGCGTCCCTATGGATTACCCAGGGATTGTCGTTAATCCGGAGGCACCATGGTACCGGGTGGAACAGAAAGACACTGCAGTGGGAATATTGAAGAAGAATCATGCTATTTTAGTGGGAAACATGGATGTTTATTCGGGAGATAAACCGTGTCACAATGGACATACGATAACTTAAGAAAAAGGTAAGAAAAATCAGCCTTACTCATGTCTTAATGCTAGAACATAAACAGTGGCGGACTATTTAAAGTCTCATTTCTATATTTCGTATCTATAAAATGAAACGGACAAGAGAGAAATGTGTTTTGACGGTACAATAATGTCTAGAATGATTTTTTTTTATTTTCTTATTACTGTTTTTTTGTTTGTTTTTTTTCCCTTACTGAACTTTTTTTTCTATGCAATACTCAAAAGCAGTTTTAACTTCATGAATGGTCATCACCTAAATTGCATCCTATGACATTGTTTCAGCTTTCATCTTTTGGGGAATAATAATGACAGTTTAATAGAAATATATAATTATAGCTATATATTCAAACAATGCTTATCTTTCATTACATAATATTTTTACTCTAAAATATATCGTCTATGATTTTATCTGTTACAAAACTACCAAGGTTATATTAAATCAATTAGTTTCGCATTTATCAACTAGTATAAGTTTAGCTGACAGTATTTAGATGTTAAAATTTCAGGACAAAATGAACGACCAGCTTCTGCAGGTTGAACAATATCGAGACAAAATTCCGATAGAATATTATTACGTTTGTGATGTCACTTTACAACTTTACTTTGATAGAATTATTTAGCTTTGTATACAAAAATAAAGTAGAATTATGTTGTGTAGACTGATATTGTCATGGGCAAACAGCTGCATTTCGGCCGACCACGACTTGGGCTGATAAACTGACAATGAATAACTCGCACAAAGGTGTAGATGAATACAATCCCCAATATGTTGTGAATTTTATGATGTTTTGAGACAATAACGTATTAACTCAGAAAAAATTAAACTTGTGCAAAAATTTGAAGAACTTACAGAAAGGTAATTACAGTTAACATAACATATAAGACGACTTTTAACCAATTAGTTACATAATTTTACTAGATCGGCTTGTAATGTCAAGAAAATAAATTGCTGTCCCGTTTACAACGTTTTGCAACAGATACAAGGATACAATATTGTTCAATCCTTCTAGCCTTTGAAAGGGAATATTTATCTTTAAATACTAGCTGCAAACACATACTTCATACTTGTTTTAACGCTTGTTTCGCGCACACAGAGTTTATTATGTTAAAAAAGATGAAATTTTATATCGTCAAATCTGTTTCATGACAAAACAAGATGTGTGTATGAAACACTATGCCCGAAAATTGCAACAAATTTCTGAAGTGGGACATTAAAAATGTACTGTATAAGGCATGTGCTAATTGCATGCACTAAGTGAAACACGTGCGTCTTCATTTTGGTAATGATTTGACAGTTTTATTTCAATAGTTATGGCATTTTTAATTTTTTCATATGCATGTAAAATGTCACAACCAAGGTCACATGGTCAAAATTGTCACAACAAAGAAACAGGTGCAAAATTTAAAAGTTCTACCTCTTATAATGCAATAGCTATGGGCAAGGTTAATGTTGACAACAAACAAACAGGCGCACAAAAAACAATGTGCCTCCGATCTTTCGATCCGTGGGCATTAAAATGGAATTGATTAACACATTGTCTAGTTGTACGTCCCTATTACGTAGACTCATAACCCTCGACGAAATCAAGCTGCCGCTTAAGATTACACCGCACCTAAAAAAATATCAAAAAGCGTCAACCGTATCACAAGGCGCAAACGATTTAAAAAGCAAACAGGGACTGAATGTAAGACGTCCACACATTTAAACATATTGCAGTAAAGAAAATGAACTTTTGAAAACTTTCTAACGTTATGCATAAGTAAAGGCGACTTGTATGTTTTTTCAGACAATTGTTGGAAATGGCGGCCAAGGTTACCCCTTATTTCATACTGACCGCAGGGGGTCTGACAGCCTCAACTCCGCCCGAAGATGACGACGCGGAATATGTGACTGAAAGCCTGGCCAAGATATCGCGTCATGGGCGAATACCTAATGGCAACTCACAAACAAAGAAACTTATTTCTTTCACGAGAAACGAGATGACACAAAAACGGATGGACTTAATCCGCCAGAGGCTTGAAGAGTCACGTGTACGTTACACTGATGCTTGTAAGACAGCCTCCTTGGATGGAAGCCGTGTAAGCAGAAGTCATACCAAATTGACAGACAGGTCTGAAAGGGCGGTACCCAAGATCGGTGACAACATTACTCCACACACTTATGGAATGCCTGAAAGTCCTGAGACCAAACTCAGATCAAAGATCCAACAGAAAAAGGTGGAGATGGTACCATTATCCAATAGCAAAACTGCCGAGTCAACTAAAGGGTCATTTCCGTATGTGTATTTTGTCGTTTCTGTTGACCGAACACAGAACCAAGCAAATAGCATCCAGGAATCGTTTGACGAAATCCAGTCGAAGGATAGTAAAAAATACCGTTCTTCACTCTTGTCACGAATGCAGAAGCGCTATATAAAAGAAGACGATAGGACGAAAATGCAACAGATTGCCGGTGAAGTAGGTCTGAAGTCAGATGTCGTGCCACCTCCTTCCCGATCATCGGTTTCTCAGCGGACAATTTCGTTTCCATCGTCTCACCAATCGACGTCTCCACCACGGAATCCTCCCGCCACCCCGGCCACAATCGGCTCGGCCTGTCATTTCCAAGACAGTGACAATGTGTCTCTGGATCTCAAAGGAGGCAAGATGTCGTCTATCGACCTCGCCGATATAAGCATCATAGGGACAAGTCGTCCTTCTACAAAACACATGTCTACTCGTGTCCTGGAGCTGCCTTACATGTCGGTGGAAATCCAGAGGAAAAACCTGGGTACGGCTAGTGCTAGCACCACAGAGTCCAAGTCTATGGAGTTAGTCTCAAAATCTTCATTGTCGTCACAGGAATCCGAAAACCGCAGGGTACATTTTTCGGAGACAATCGACTTGCCCATGATTAAAGGCAGTCGTATCGTTATCACACCAACGATTCCAACACAGTTGTCACCACGCCCTTCAACCATGCCGACTTTGTTGGGCAAAAAGGAGGCTGAGTTCAAGGAAAATTTCAAAGAGGCATATGAACGCCAGAAACAATACCGACATCAAACTCCCGGTACACCAAGACCAAGGAAAATTGGCACCCCGCTGACTCTTCCAAAAATAGATATTGTATCCGGGGTTTACGATGAACTTGTTATCAAAGCTATCGAATCGTATGTTCGGGACTTTCCGCCTGCTTCTAAACAAGGCCAGGTGGCTCGTCAGCTGCTCAAGCAATTACATGAGAGATCAATCTCTGCGGCGGACCTCTCGCGCATGGAGGACCAAAGAATGCGAGGACACAAAAAACTAAGCATCAAGGAACTCCCTGACGATAACGGCAAAGATAGAAAGGTTGAATACAAAAAGGAGAGGAGTAACGGTGGCGCTGGCAAACCGGGGCATAAAGCTAAGGAACGAATGTACAGCACAATAGCGCCCACGTGTTTCAAAATGGCTAACCCAGGTGGGTTGGATGGAATGAGTGCTTCTTCTGGAACATCAAAACAAAGCAAGAAAAGTGCGGAGAGAACAGGTAAAGCAGAAGTAAAGTAAGGATGATTTCCCCATCGTCTGAAACATTGATCAGTGTCAAGATAATGGGATAGTATTCAGAAGCACGGCTCTTATTTTCCTGTCTATCAGAAAAGGTTTAGATGTTGACCAATGATCAAAGAATATTACTTATGTTGTCTCCTTAACACTCGGAGCGTTATTTAGATAGTGCTGCTATGAAATTGTGCTATCGATATGATTAATATAAACACGTTTCTTACATAAAAAGACAGATGACTAGTAAGCGTACTTAAGAAGTACGTTTGGAATCGTTACAACTTGTACTGACTACACCTTTAGTCAGTTACGTATCATTCACTTTTAGTAAATACAGTGTCTCGATCCAGTCAAGGAACTCGGAACATCCGTTAAAGGATGAATTGAATCCTAAATCATACTGCGATATCTGTGTCACATTCACATTCTCGTGGCTAGTTCACGACTCGATATGTTATCAAGGTTTTGACTACAATGTTTCTAGGTCATTTTACACATTAAAGTTGGATCCTGGATCCTAATTTGAATATTCTACTGCTCTAGTATACAGAAAAAGGCGAGTTTCTGAATTAATTTAGGCCCTTAGTTGTGTATCTTATGACCCTAACGTAGCAATACGTTTAGAATCACGTGCTGTTACGTAAGGGTCCTAGGACAGATACTTTAGGGCCCTTGGTCAGTATGGAATGGTCCTGAGGTAACTAAGTAAACAATTGTTTGTAATTGTACTCATTAGGAGAGCCAAGTTAGGGTTTAAGCTTATCTCGTTAAACACTAAAATGCTTACTTAGGATATTTTCTTTGTTTGCGATCCATTAAGACATCATCATAACTTAGTTAGAGTCTTATGTTACCAAGATAACTAAGTTGAGGTCTAAAGTTATTTCCCTATGAAGTTAGTACACAAGGTTACAGGTTCGTACATTATCATCACTACATTTGTAAATTAGGATACAAGATTACTGGGTTAGTTTCCTATGATAACCAGGTTAGGATAAAATGATAGTGAGTTAGTCTAATTTCATAACTAGGTAAATATACAAGATTACTGGGTTAGTCTTAGAAAATAACTAGGTTAGGATACAAGATTACTGGGTTAGTTTCCTATGATAACCAGGTTAGGATAAAATAATAGTGAGTTAGTCTAATTTTATAACTAGGTAAATATACAAGATTACTGGGTTAGTCTTAGAAAATAACTAGGTTAGGATACAAGATTACTGGGTTAGTTTCCTATGATAACTAGGTTAAGACAAAATAATACTGGGTTAGTCTAAAATTATAATTAGGTTAGGATACAAGATCACTGGGTTAATATCATATGATAACTAGGTTAGGACAAAATATTACTGGGTTAGTCTCCTATGATAACTAGGTTAGGACAAAGTATTACTGGGTTAGTCTCCTATGTTAACTAGGTTATGATGCAAGATTACTGGGTTAGTATCATATGATGACTAGGCTAGGATACAAGATTACCGGGTTAGTCTCCTATAATGAGTAAGTGAGGATACAAAGTTCCTGGGTTAATTTGGGAGATACCTAGGCTTTTTGTGTAATTAATTTACCTGCAACTGCTGAAAATAGCTGTGTACATTGTGAGAATATAAAATTGCGCTGTATTCTGGCCATATTATCATTAATGAAGTCATTGTGAAGACATTGCTCGATATTTAAGTAGTCTATCTAGCATCTCATTCAGGATCAATATGACATTAAACAGATGACAAATGTTCTAACATGAAGGCTTTCTAGCTCACTTTATTCTTTAAGTGAGCAAGAATATATACATAATTGATGAAAACTTATCACGTATTTTCAATCATGAGATGATTACTTTCGCTCTTCTCTGTCAAGTTATCGTGTTGCTAATTAACATATTAATATGTGACTTATCTAAGTCAATCGTTGTGTTTTTTTTAATACAAAGGCTCGTTGATATATATGTAAAATACAATGCAAAGCGTTAAGAATTACGTGCCTGTACCATACATTTATCTGTTTGATTGACATATATGATATACACAATAAATCGGTAGATTATGAAATGCCATTGAGGCTCTGTTTAACATTAAACAATAATGTTTTTGATTCTGTAGACATCTGTGTATCGTTATTTGAAATCAGTAGAAATTATTTTCACTTTGTTATTGAAGTTATAGATTTCTTTTGGAAATCTTTCTTATTATTTTTGCTATTATTGATTTTATTATCAGTAATTATACACAGAAAATTCATTAAAATTATCGTTTCAAATATGCTGTGTTCATCTTTGTATTATGCGATGGGTATGGTTATTGTCGAAGTCTTGATTACTATATATTGTTCAAACCAAAACATTATAGTTTACAAAATGTTAACAGAAACGATTTTTACATTTGACCGATATTTCTATTTTTGGCTGTGTGCTAATTTTCGTTTCTAATGCAAACAAAGATTTCGAGGTTAAAATTTGGCAGCCGCACAGAGAAAAACTCGTTATAAAATACATTTTTGTCCCTGATATCCACCTTATGGACTAGAAGTGGTCAGTTAAGCAGGTTTGTTAAGACGATTAATGTATGGCCTTAATCGGTCTATTTAATGCCGGATCCCTTTTATTGGTAAGCTGATTTTTTTCACAAATCACATTTGGTTTTACTGAAAGGCTGTATGACTTATACTTCTTAAAAGTATAGGTACAGCTTAGTCGAGTGTAAATTGTGTTCTTAATGCCATTTTCAGACATATTATTTAAGATACCACCTCGCTAAAATTCACTTCACAGAAAACTAAAATGATTTTGGTTTGATACCTATTATTTCATAATTAGAACATGACAATATTGAAATTAAGCAAACGGCACATGTATCATATGACAATGTTTATAACAAGTTTTCCGGAAAGGCTTTGTACCTACCCATCCGAAGTTATTTAAATATCTTTAGACTCGATAAAAGCTTTGAGAAGGCCATCATTTGCTACCGTGAAGCCCACTCGATGGTTACAGTTGAACCAGTAGGAACTCCGATAGGACTCAGAGCTCACGTGATCCGAACACCAGTTACGCGAACAGTATGTACAGTATCGCTGCATATTTGAGCGGAGTTTGAGCTCGACTCGACAGCGACAGTGATTCTCATGTGGCTGTATAATCGCGCGAAGACGACCTTTGACTGTTTCCAGACGATCTCTAGTTGATAGAAAGTTTTCCCGCTCTTTTTCCAGAATTAAAAGTCTCTCTTCGAAAACTCGATTCTTAACTTCCAATGGAAGTGATTCATTTTTTCGGACGCTATCCACCAGTGACGGATTTCCAGAACATTTCATTGTGATAACGGCGTAAAGTTTATCCAGTCCATACCTTGCACATGCCTCTAAACACTTTACAACAAATTCTCCTTTATCTCGAGTCAAATGACCTTCTTGTACTTTCTCCAGTATCGTTTCCTCGCATTTCTCCGTAAGTTTGACTAATTGGTATTCTTCTGCAATCGGCAGAAGCCGAAAAGCCGATACATGACCTTGCTCTAAATTGTCGTCCATTCCTGGATGTAGAAACTTTAAAAGTTCATCGATATCTTTTGCCTTTTTCCCTGGTAGTTCTATTTCCCTTTGGTCTTTTTCTTTAAACTCTGACGTGAACATGATACTAAATACTGGTGATGCGAATGCTAAAAGACTTCTACTTGCGAATAACCGCTCGCCTTCAACCACCAAGACAAGATCTGAGAGTGGCTGTTCTTCTTTAAAATATAAGATACGTGCACAAATCCTCGCTGTAACATTTCCGTCGTTTTCTAACGGTAACTTGTTTGTATTTGGACTTGCACATTCATCTGTCGTCTCCATCGCATTTCTGTGCGTAACTAATATCTGTGATACATGACGTCATAAACAATACACAATATATCGTATTGATGACGTCATCTATCTATCCGTGAACTAACAAAACAAGTTTATGTAACATCTGAATCGTGTCCTACCGTCCGATAACTATGGGTTGAATACCTATCCACAACGTCATTTTTTTTTTTTTTCAAATCGCGGAGTCATTATCAATATATACAGCTTTATTAACGGTGATTCAGATTAATATATTTACATCCAGTTGGGTTTTACGCTACCGTGTCACGGTTGTAACATTTCAGTGTATGTGATGACACTACTTTCGTGAACACCAGCGTCTTGGAATTTGTCACGAGTTCGTAAACCCCATTTAGAAGTACTGAATTTCAGTTTCTTCTTCAAATACGCCCAATGAATGTCTGTAAATGTGAATGACTTGAGATGACATAAATGTTTATGTTTAGATAAATCTAGACCTTGATGACCGATCTTTACGTTTCTTCGTTTAGGAAGTTATCATTTATATGACGTGACCCAGACTGTTTTTTAACGCCCCGTCGTTTCGGCGGTTTCATTCTAGTACGTGCAATAGCGCATGACAGGGAATCACACCACCAAGTTCCGGTAAATGGATCATAATACATGTGGTTTTAATTCATGGTCCATGAACCCACCATTTTATACTGTTATGGCTTGGCCGCTGTCACAACACTGTCTCCATGGAGTCAAATAAAAAAAAGTTAAGTTCATACCCGAATGAACTTTATACCTCTAAATTTCTAAAATTAATTCATATACAAGACGAATAGCTGACAAGGTTTTTGATTATTTTATTTCACTATTGTCTTATTGTACAATTTCACACGTGCACCTTCTCATCAACAATGACTCAAATTGCATCCATGTTTACACAGCATCTATCAAATACAATGTACTGTACATAGATAAATATCACACAGTAACACCATTATTTGAACCTTGTTAACCCCTGAATCACCTGGTGATTTTATCATCTTTGATCACAGATATAAAAATAAAGAATATTTGCCTACATCAATGCCAGCAAGCTCAGCTTGAAACTAGGATTTATGTTGTTTTGAACAATAAAAATCGACAAATCAGGACTGAACATTTCCACAGCCGAATCGTAAGTGAACGTTTTTATGGAATCGTGATAATTAATGTAAACAATTTTTTCGAGTTCCATCCGAATTCCCTTTTGTTGAAAATTCCACTCCCCTCCAAGGATAGATTGAAGGAATAAATTCTTTATGGGAAATGTTCCGAGTTGAAGATTTTGTGACGACATTGGTCATGATGAAAGGGTCCATGAATGCATTCATTTACAGGAAAATTCTTCGTTGTACAATATTCAATTATTTAATATAATATGTCTTTCTTCGTTTCTTTATTTTACTTTGAGAACAAATATTTTAAACTCAAAATGTCCCTTGCAGGATTTCATACCACACGTCTTGAGTACATTGTATACAATAGAGATATCAGGCTAGCCATTGCCAGAGTGATCTCCATAGGAGTATAACTACCAATAAATTAAAAACCACAGCCTCCTTACCATAAGTACTTACTGTGTTTACTACCATGTAGGAAACAAGTAAGTACATTTAAGCCAATATAAATGCATTGTCTACATTTCATAGGTGTTTTATTTTAATTCTAAGGTGCATATATGAAAGTAAGTAAAACTCCATGGTAGTGCAAGATAGGTATTCAATATGAAAGTGAAGTGTTCCTATAAAGTCAGGTGAAATATCTACCGAACATCTGATGCCTTTTATACTCTTGATACTACAACCAATGTCTTTTGGCCAGTATGTCTCCAGTGGACAAGTCGTATACAAAATATAAACTTTTCCGACACTCTGTGTCAGGCAAACATCCAATGTGATAAAATTGTTGAAATGTTTGTATATACAACAATGTTGTGATATTCTAAACACTAGCACCAGAATGTAGATTTCTGAAATATATTTTACATCACAAACTAAAAACCTGATGAAAATAAAATCAAATGGAAAACTTTGATTAAGAATACAATTGCTATTGCAATACCAAAACAAGTTAACACTAAAGGTTGTCAGAGTCTTTTCCCACAAAACAAACGAGTAAAATTTTGTATACCATCAAACAGTTGATTTCCTAACTCTATTTGTACACCACTAGACTTATCTGTTTACAGCTGCACTAGCATCCTTTGTGTGTACACACCACTAGACCTGTCTGTTTACAGCTGCACTCTCGTCCTAAGCGTGTACACACCACTAGACCTGTCTGCTTACAGCTGTACTCTCGTCCTTAGTGTGTACACACCACAGGACCTGCCTGTATATAGTTACACTTCTTTACTTTCTATATTTCACTGCCTATTTTCTTTACTTTCTGTATTTCACTGTCTAATTTCTTAACTTTCTATATTTCAATGTCTAACTTCTTTACTTTCTGTATTTCACTGTCTAATTTCTTTACTTTCTGTATTTCACTGTCTAACTGTATTTCACTGTCTAACTTCTTTACTTTCTGTATTTCACTGTCTAACTTCTTTACTTTCTATACTTCACTGTCTAATTTCTTAACTTTCTATATTTCACTGTCTAACTTCTTAACTTTCTATATTTCACTGTCTAACTTCTTTACATTCTGTATTTCACTAACTTCTTTACTTTCTGTATTTCACTGTCTAACTTGTGACTGATTGATACATTATTCCCCTCTAATATTAATCTTATTTACTGGAAACCTATGGAGTTGCCAACTTTTTATGTACCACATAAATGGTCAAGAAATTCAATCCTTGTTATTTGCAAAACTTTTACACATGGTCAACTATAATATAGTAATTCTGAATTTCACACTCTGTATTTACAATTACACTTTACATTTTATTTGCCTTCATCAAGCAAAAAACTTTCACATGGTCACATTTCAGTTATAAACTTGTTTTTTCTAAAATCCTACTCAACTAGAGAAAAAAATCTGATAGGTAGATATGTATGCAGGCATTTTTTCAGATTCCTAGATTTACATCTAATTCTAAAACAATACAAGTAACGTAAATAATAATAATGATTATGTAAATAGTACTATGTAAGATATGAACTTATCGCATCCAGACCTTAAATAGTCTACCAGTGAATGATCATTCATAAAATAAAATGTGTCCCTCTTAATCAAACCAACACCCTGTTTATTTCCTATTTATCAAGCAATGACTTAAAGAGACAGATTGTACTTTTTCCTATCTAAATTGTCCCAGTTACTTCATCAAGCCTGTGATTTTTCGAGTTGGGAAGAGAGGTGATCAAAGGAGATGCATTTAAATAATGCTGTATTATTCAAAAAACCATTTCCCAAACTGTTACATTGAATTTCATATAAACACTGTAGAATATTCCTAGATCTACAAGCCATTTCTTCCATAAAATATCAAACGTACTATATTTAAAATAACTATGTGTTTGATACAAGTAAAAATGACATACAATATATGAATATATAACATTATTTACATATTATGTAATTTATCGCCTTCTGCTGAGAGCACTTCAATCACAGAACAATGTTACAGGTCAGGGCCTTTCCTTTTTATCATAAATTACACTGAGATATAAGTGTTTTAAGCAGAAGGCAATACTGGATTCAGTTAATCATACAACAATCTAAGAAAAACTATACAATATATAAATACCAATATGAAATATTTCTGTTATTTACATACCGATATACTTCTTGAATCTAGAACTACATAACATCTCCGATAGAATAGCTGTGGAGAAATAACTGTGCTCAGCTGGACCGGCACCGTCACTTCATTCAAGCAATATTCAAGGTTTCATCATATGATAAACGATAAACTACAATACTTTGCCACTGATATGTGAGATAGTCACCTGACTAAACAACCCTAAGCTTACTAGAATTAAACAAAGATGTGACAGAGCATATAATTAAGTCACTACATTGTCTTATACAAAAAAACACTCAACAGTTTAAATAAAACTTGACTAGATGCAATGTTAAAACATACTTTACAAACTTATAGCTTTTTAAAAGATTTACAAGTATTTACTTGAATTATAAAGTTTTATGTGACTTTGTTTTAATTTCATTAATGCTTTCACATTGTTACCAGGTAGTCAGTAATCAGATTAGTTAACCAATCCTATTTACCATCATGATTAATTCAATCAATTTATTAACGCACAGGCAAATGATAAAAAGCACACTATTTAATCGTAGTTATGATAATTGATTTGCAGGAGTTAAAGCTAAAAATTACTTTCAGTTGGGTAAAAATCAGCAATACATATGCAAAGTAATTTTTTTGCTAAAGAAGAAGAAAAAAAAATAATCACCTTAATTTTGAACCTTTTTCCACTTCAAAGAATTAAAAAGTTAATGAAAGCTTAGAAAAAATTTCTTTAAAATGGGAATGAAAAATTTTGTGAAAATAAATATTATCAGTGTATGCTTTATTTATAATTTAATGAGCATAAATTATTATCTAGTACAATAAATCTATGAGACAAGTGTGAGGTTCATATCATGAACAGCAGAATTATGAAATGGAATGTTTTTATACACGTAACAGCTACATCAAAAGGGATGTTTAAATAATTCTGGGATCCCAGTATGTAATTGTTTCCTGTAACATCAACACAGTAATACTTTAAAAGATAATAATGCAGAAGCTACAAAACTGGAAAGCTAAATATAGATTTACTACGACAAATCAGTTAAAAATTTATTGCTAATGTAAGTACTAACTGATATACACAAAAGCTATATGTCAAAAGCATTGAAGAATACCATAAAGAAATATTTCCCCATAATTATTGCTCGGCCGTAAATACTGGATATAAGTGGTATTTGTTTTGATGATTATAAATAAATATACAACTACATTAAGTCACTGTGTACCATATTATAGATAATACTGATGTGATTTCAAAATCTCAAAAAATAAAATCCAGTCAATTTCTGCACATACTATGTCATATGATGATTGTTAGTTTTTGTGTCAATGTGTAAAATATCTCAAGTTTGCTAACTAAGTACAGAGTCTGATAGTATTTTGTGCTGAAACATCATCAGCTTTCTTTTTATATTCTCTTTTTCATGCTAACTGACATATTTTGTTGAATTATTTTATCTTCGATTGTGTTTTTACCGTCTAGCTGCATCCATGTGTAATATATTTATTTAACATATCTTTATTTATTAATTGTATACGAGATTGTAGGGATTTGCTTTAAATTTAATACCTTACATAAAAACATTGCTTTGTGATTAAATGAACCAATCAATAAGATATTGATATTATTTTTTGTTTTTCGTTTTTTTTTTTTTCAAAAGCTAAGTGTTTTTCATAGAAGTGTTATAACTTTGAGATAACAGTCTGAGGGAAAATGGTGATTTTTGAGACAGATAATATGTGTGATATAAATATGCACAAACCAAATGTCTATGGAAAGTTTTTAGGAGTATTTTGAAGTACAACTGCCGTCAAACATAATTTTAATTCATTGTGTAATACAAAATCCTGTAGTCTTATTTACAACTGAAGTAGCTTGTAACCAAATTTGTGTTGACTTTGACACGACTGACATGTCAATGCGAAATAAAATTGGCACCTGTCAACACAGTGGCCCGAACATATCTGAAAATTATTACAATATCAACATTATTTAGATGCTTTTATCAACTTTCATGAATTAGGTTAACATTCTTAAACATGTAACCTTAATATATATTATCAACAACACTGTGATGTAAAGTCCAAGATTATACTTAAAAAGTATTTGTAAAGTTCACCAAATGATTTGTAACAAAATTATATTTACATCTGCTCTGAATTAAATATAAAAATGTTCATAAGTAGATCTTTCTTTCCATCTAAACAGGTATGTATATGTTCATATGATTCTATCATTGAGGTTTTTCTTATCCTGGGTTTTCTTATACATATACTGTCCAAAATGGGCTGAAAATTTACAGAAGTAGTACACATGGCAAACACAAACAGACTTATTTCTTTAATATTTCCCTATTCTTTTTTTTTAAAATACATAAATTTGTTTAAAAACAATTACTATAGCTTGTAATATATTTGCTGATAGGTTTGGCTTTTTACTGACCTTAAAAAAATTAGAATACATTGTATAATTAGATGATCTTCATAAGAACAGAAATGGTCAAGATTGATTTTAAAAACATTGGCATACATGAATACCACCTTGATTGCAGCACACAATCATAGCAAAGTAATTATCAAGGAATGAGTTCTTCTTCAGGTTCATACACTGAAAGTTTCCCAGTTTCTTAAATAAATCTTGTACTCACTAGATAAGTATGTCAAAATGATTTAGATTCTACCATAACTTTCTGATTTCTCCATTATACATTTAAAACAACTTTATCTATAGTAACATCTATTGTTTTTTAATTAATATAATATTATATCGGATAAATTCTAACAAACAGGCGAGTTCTGATCTTATAATGAATTCTCAGATCCTTAAATATCATTCATGTACATGGGTATTGAGCAAAATATGATAAAATATTAATGAGATGAATACTTCTAACTTCAGTAAGTGTAGGAGATTATGGAGATTACAGGGATCACTTCCACTGTCGGATCTCGTTGACAACCCATTTCTGATTGTCATTAGATGGGTCACATGGCTCCAAAGTCACCTTATTTCCACTGCCAGCCTCGAGGCATTTCTCATGGCGATCATGGCGGATCACACCCGTCGTCTGAAGAAAGAGAGTATTATACTATACTATACTACAAACCATGACATTTTTCTGTTAACTGAAGCTTGGTGTGAGCTTCATGCATTCACCCATACCAAAGATGGGAGGTAGGTTTGACAATGGAGAGTGGAGACATGAAAATGGCTAATGATATTTTTTTCATATCTGACAATAGGGTTTCATATCTGACAACAGGGTTTCATATCTGACATTAGGGTTAAGCTTGAAAATCTTTTGACCAAACAGTAGAATGTTAATGAAAAAACCTGATTACTGTTATAAAGGGCATTTATTGTTATTTACCTTTTCATTTGACATCATACATTTTTAGACTACATGTATGAGTGATTCTTCTACTATAAAGTAAAGTGCCAAAGTTTTATCTGTAACATCGTATCTATATCCACTAAAATTGTTTGATCAGGGGTTATTCATGTGTGATAACACTGCACTATTGACAATGTCAACTTATTTACACGTTCCAGTATTTGAAACAGAGGATTTAGAGAGATCTTCCCATTTTCGATAATCATCTTTCAAAAGATGTAAACCTTTAATTGGTTGGTAAGAATTAGCATGAGAAGTCGGTGTACGTTATCATTGGAATGATTACTTTTTTGATACATTGTGCAAATATAACAGGTTTACTCTAATTAAAAATGATATTTTTATCAGAAACAAAAAGGACATGTCAGATCTCATTCTGATCTCCAGCACAGGAGATGTTGAAGAGGGTGTAGATTTGACCATGGCTGTTTAATTGGGCAAAAGAGAAAGGAAAAGAAAAAAAAAATGGATTTTAAGATGATACTTAATGAAGTAATGATTAATGATTTCTAAGATCACCTCTGGAAACTCTAGGGCAGATGGACAGCACACCTGTGATTCCCCAACAACAAACATTGCATTGGGCTGAGTAACAATTATATGTTGGGGCTCCTGATATGTTGCAGTATTATGGAAGGGAAGTCACTCAGGTTCATTTAATATAAATTCTTTACAATGCCTTGTGAAAGACTGGGACCATAAATCTGCTCATTATCGCACAGAGACAGCCGACTTACAAGATCTAGCTGCCATGGTCCTGTTGGCTGTGTTTCACAGAAATGCATGTGTAGGGTACTGCCATTTGGAGCCTCAATACAGCGTTCACCAACTCCCATCTGGCCCTTGGTGTTTATTCGGAACATCTATAATATCAATAGTTGTACCGTCAGTATGCTTACCTTAGTCCAACACTCGACACTGACACTTCAGTACATTGGTTCCTGGCAACGTTGATGTTTTTCATACATTTATCATGTCTTTTCTTATAAATTAATACTTTGTCAAGATTGAGAGTCAGGTTTCAAAGCAATGTACATGCATATGTTTTGCAAGATCAGCTGTAGAAATTTCTTGTTGCAACAACTTAACTTAAGAAATGAAACTCTACCATCTACATGGACAGCTGAAGCACTAACAATGTGGCAAAATTTGCCACCTTAAAAATTGCAGAAATCCTATCACATATATGGCAACTCATCCATTTTGTTAAAGTAACTTATATTTGCACTTAAAATTGTTACAAAAATAACTCCTTGTTCAATTTAATTCAGTTCGATAAAACATGTACACCTAAGTTTATCAAAGTAAAGAGAAACAATGGGAATATATATATTACAGTCACTAATGTGGAAGCACTATGTAAAAACTACATAGAAAAGGCACCATAGCATTGAAATAATATCTAGAATAAGCTTATTAAACTTCTATCTTCAAAAAAAATACCTTAAAATGATACAAGTCCAAAGTTTAAGCCTCTATGAGAGATTCTATTGATTTAAACAGAAAAATATGACCATGTAATTTATTGCAAGGCTAATATCTGTTCTAAGAAGATAACAATGACACACCAGTGACCACTACAACCAAGTCTAATACAGAGAAGGCAGAATGTACTGACTGAAAGCAAAACCCAGTGGAGGAAAAATCTCCAAAAGTCAAGAATGGCAGAATAAAGTGCAGTAATTACATGTTGTAATCAATAGATATCAGGATCCTAGCTCAATGTTATACATCTCACATTAGGTATCCAAACTTTAACAAAATTTTCAAATTTTGAGTGGAAACTTCAGCAGCAAACATACCAACATGACACACAGGTCTGCAAGTTTCACAAGTCTGAGAAATCTTTGTCAAAAGACTTGATCTGAAGCTTAAATGACAAGATCAAGGTTCCTGAGAAAATTTCGAAACCAAACATCTGAGGTCACTTGAATAAATTATAAATGATCAATTGTTCTCCTATGCTATGTTGAAATCCTGAATCCTGATAATTATGCTATAATCCAATGTTTAAGTGGAGGAGTATATAGCATCTCCATTAGACTTGCTTTAATCTCCAACCTGCATCGAATATGACACCTTTATTGGAGCCTTAATACAGGTATATATGACAATATCAAGAGATATGTACCCAGTGCCTGACCTTTGTGATTTTAACAATGACCTTAATTCTGGGAATATCCTTATAAATATTGAGATAAAAATCCCAAACACTGACATTTATATTTCAATAATCTGATCGTGACCTAAGGAACAAAAATGAATTCATCCAGAAAAAACTGATCCACATTATCATTATGTGATTTAAAAAAAAATTTCTATATTTCTATCTATCATATTTGACCTTCATGACTTTTCATCACATGGCCTTGACACCAATGTGACATTTGAAATCCCACCAATATCTCTTGATAAAAGACCATTAATAAAAGGCATCATCTTTCAGTCTTACATTATGGGACATTTAATACATTTATCAACAAATATCATAATTTTGGAAAGTGTTGCTCCTGTCAATTCATGCATTACCTAACAGAAAATTTAACCACTGACAAAGAAAGAAAAGTAAATAAAAAAACAAAATTAGCCTCAACCTCACTAGCTAGAGTTTTCCTAATCTTTGATCCACAAGTCCTTTATGCCAGATGACACACAAGGGAGATAACTTGTATACATACTTGATGCTGTATAATGTTGATTGAGTGGTCAGGTATCAGGCAGTGTAATTAAAAAGACATGATATGTTTACCAACACCACAGTAATTTACAACATGATCAAGAAGAATTTATTAACCTTAACACCTCTTCATTCAATCAATTTTCTCATAAAAATGATGAAATAGAAGTTGAATTGTAAAAAAAAAATCTCCTCAGGTAGAGCTAACAATTTTTTTCTATCATACATTTTAAATATTTCTTCTGCTTTTTTTCCCCTTTTTTGTTTTTTAAAATTAGGAGATGCCCATTTGTCTACGATACAAATATAAACCACAAAACAATTATTTCATCTCGTAAAATTATTCCGGTAATAATTTGACAATATGATATAATCAACAGTCTCTATATGTAACATGCAACACTATGTCCATCATCAAAGTATTTACATACCTACCGAAGATATACTTACCTGTGTCAGGTATGACAATGATCTTAAAACTGTACCTGAAAATTTGTCAACTACTAACAGGCAAATCTTACATTCATGCTCGAAATCAATTTCATAACAAAATAACAAAAACATAACAAGACAATACATAATTATAGTTAAGCAGAAGGTAACCACTACTGTGACAGCCAGGTAAGCTGGATGTTACCTGTCAATCCCTGACTGTGTTGGGTACAAACGTGACAAAATACAGCTATCAAACTGGCAGCAGAACATGTATCTGTGGCATTTGGCATTTGTATCACCAGAAAAGATGGACAGTGTCACATTCTAGATATTCAAGGTACGTTGGTATGTTGTTGGTTTTGACAGCAAATTAACAATGTTTCACTTTTAATGTAATATGTACTATTATTGATTAAGTAATACAAATAAACCTTTCTTTATAATTAATTGAATATTATTAAGTTGGTAAGTAACTAATTTAATCAATAACCTTTTATTTACATAAATAAAACAAAATGCCCTTTATGAAAGCACCTTACATTTACACTAGTATAATTCTATCTATTGAATTAGAAAAAATAAATCAATATCAGAGGCAATAACAGTTTGATTGGGCAAACGCAAACGCGTAACAGTCGGATAAACGGAAAATGCAAATGCTAAATGCTGAACGATTGATGATAATGTTTCACGCAAAACGGAAAAAATTCAAAATGAAATATGATAGAGAAGTGATTGACCAACTAACCATGTATATGAATACAGAGCTGGATTTCGGTATAATAGCACTGACAGTTCGGAAGAACGCTATGCACGTATATACACATAGGACTGCGTGGTTACATTCATGCACCTCTTGTATAATGTTTTGCTAGGAGTAATATGCATATATACATAGATAGTCGTCTTTTTTTTAACTCAGCGATGAATATTAAGAATATAACATCTTGTCATCAAGGAGAAAACTACGGTTTTTTTAAGTAGAAAAAAATAATCAGTATGTACATGGTAAAACAAGTATTATGTACATAGTAAAACCCGTATTATGTACATAGTAAAACCCGTATTATGTACATGGTAAAGCACGTATTATGTACAAGGTAAAACATGTATTATGTACATGGTAAAACCCGTATTATGTACATGGTAAAACCCGTATTATGTACATGGTAAAGCACGTATCATTTACATGGTAAAACCCGTATTATGTACCGTATTATGTACATGGTAAAGCATGTATTATGTACATGGTAAAACATGTATTACGTACATGGTAAAACATGTATTATTTACATGCCTCTACAAGTGTTAGTTCTGGTGCAGTAATATTATTTCTCATTTCAATCAATGTGTACATGAAATGTAAAAATGATGATATTGATATTAATAGCTGTCAAATGCCCTGTCATTTATGTCAAAGCAGACAATTTAAAAGCTGTGACAACATGGACAGAAGGATAAATCTGAGTTTGTAATAACTGATATATATCTTGATTAATCACGAGACCAAACAGACACTGAAATCGAAATTAAATTCCTTTGATTTCCATATCAATAAAGATCCATAGATTTATTTATTTTCATTTATTTGATTTTTTTTGTTTGATGTTTATATTTTTTATTTACCTGTATATCAGGTTATCGCAGGAGCCCTACAGGTCTCAACTTAAGTCACTAATTAAATACAATATTGTCCTTTCTTTGCAGTATTATATCCCATTATTACTTTGTAAGGAGATATTCAGTTCAAAATTGTGTAGGAAACCAATAGTGATCAGATCTGGACAAAACACATACATCCATGAGAGACTAGGAAATACAGTACAGCTGTGCATGTGTTTAACACAAGCTGTCACAAACCATCCATAACCCAATGCAGTAATTAGTCTAAATGTGCCACATCTCAGAAAAAACTCACAATGCATCAAGTAACAGATATACCTGCTGGCATAGAGAGATCACCAACATTGTAAATGTGAAATATTTTCAAGAAAATTGTTTTTCATTATGTATGGAGAATGATGAAATATAAAGAAAATGAGAATTCAGCATTTCCTGAAATTACAGACATATATTATTTTTTCTATTATTTCAAATGCAATCTTACCTGTTGATATCGTTAGAAATTATTTTTGAATCTGACTGTGATCCTCCACATTATATAATCAAGGGTTTAAAAATCCATAATTTAAGAGAATACTGTAACTATCTGTAAACTTGTCTACACTTTGACCCACATACTGACATTTAAACTACATCACTTACAAGTTCATAATCCAAACCTTCATATTAGTTTCATTACAATCCGTTATGATCTTACCACTTAAAATATATAAATATATGAATGCAACAAGGACTTTATATATAAAAGCTCAATTCTTGTTGTTTTTTGTCCTTTACATGCATGATCAAGCATTTTTATAGCCTACACATGCAGTGGACAAAGATTGAACTCTCTAATCAGGTTGCGGTTCTAAAACTAGCTGTTCAGGCAAGCATAACTATTCTGTGCTTGTACCATTGTATTTCACTGGATTAATAACTGAATACAGGTCTAATTAATTTTTATTTTAACTTGAGAGTAAAAAAGGCGATTCTGATAATTGGTTCAAAGCTACAGCGAGATTATCGATAAAAGGCCCTTGTGATGTCAAACATCAATCCGCATTGTTACCATTTACATGTGTGCAAATTATGCATAGTCATAAAAATAGGTGTGTCTCAATAAACTCGCTCTTGTTGTATAAAATGTGCGAATATCGACAGTTAGCTTTTTGCTGTTGTTGTCTTGTGTGTAGACTTTTTATTCATAGGAATGATACATATAGGTGTTGAAGTGGTACCAATGAGGTGAAAATATGAATTATCTGTGGGGAAAATCCTCATGTGCAACTTGCAGATCTGAGCGAAAATGTATTAAAAAGAAAAGTACTACATGGGGTTTAATACTTCTATAGTATCTTCCAGTGAGCACAAAAAAAGGCCACAATGCCACTCATTAATTGATATCATGGTGGTTTAAATTAGATACATACCAGTAATTACTACAGTTCAGTATACTGTTACATTGTATGACTGGGCACAAGGAAGAATTTCTAAATTGAAAAAATTGTCTGTATGCAGACAACTCCCCTCACATGACTCGTGTCATTTGATTTCATCTATTGTCAGGTCATTTAACTGCTAATCATTTTTTGATAGACGGATTAAAACACAAAGATACTTTTCAATGCTTATAATAATTTGCTTACTGAATAGCACAACACACGTTTCTATATTGAGATACTGACAAAATATAAATACAACAGATGTTAATTTAACAAATAGCTCTGCATAGGATATTTCCCATCACAAATATGCTATAACTACACTGGCTAGTAAACCTTGTTAATTAAAATTCTTATTGCAATGCGAAAGAAACAATAATTAAACGTCAGATCTAGAAAAAATAATTACGATAAGTTTACATAAGTAAGGAGTAAAGAACCTATACCTAAATCTTGAATCAAAAATATCTTATCAACCTCTTTGGCAATAATGTATTTCTACCTTTTGCATATTAGAGAAATGGCAGAAAGTCTAAGGTTATCTCTCTGAAAATACACACAATACAATACAATATACAACTGCATGCAGCATTTATACTAAAAAATTGGTTAAGGTCTTAAAAGAATTGAAGTAAGAATTTAATAAGGTAATTCTTTATTACTGGAACAATAAAAATGTGTTGAATATTTGATGTATTGACTATCAAATAACTTAAAAACACGGAATAAACACTGATACTGATATGTTATTGTGATGCTTTTCAAAACCTAATATATTAAATTACTGGTGTTTAAATCTTGATAGTAAGATTTGGAATTCTGAATGTTTGCAAACAGATGTTTCAATCCATCGACAGATGTGATGTTAATGCACAATGTAATGTATCATTAGGTGAATATTGTTGCTTTCATCCTCATTTACATTAATGATCCTGTCATGACGGAGTTTTTTTTTTGTTTTTCCCTGCCTGAGGATTCGTGTGTGAATGTATCCAGACACTAATTTATTGTCAATTTTTGTGTGTGTTCTTTCTAGACATTTTTTCTCACAAATATGGACAACATACGTGTTGCATCGGGATACGGTTCAATATTTAGTTGTTCTTGGTAAATGCAAACGGAGGTAAACGCAAGCGTAAACGGAGAACAGTTCTAAACACAAATGGAAAGTGATCAGAATTGTAATGTTAAATTTAAACATGACCTTCAAAGATGTCTATATATAGAAAAGTATCATAATTTAATTTGTTAGGTACGTAATACATGCAGTTTGTACCGCACAATTTTTTTCTGAGTTCGAGTTGATTTCACTTGATTTAATACCAGGCGTGTTTTTATGCAATTACACAGCTGTGGACACATCATCACAAAAGGAAAGAAATGATTTGCTCATTTATTCCAACTTCTTTCAATCTTTTAGGGTTTTGGTCTTGGACCCTGATCAGGGGGCTTCTGCTACCAGTTGTCAGTGTACAACACATTAAAATTGTTTGGCTATGCACCTGAATACCACTTGAAAAGTATCATCAAAAAGTGTCAAAAGATACACATAATTGTAATAAGTTTCACAATGTGTTGCTGCCATTGTGTGATTTCATTTTCCTGCCTTTAGAAAGGGCAGGGGAGTTACCAGAGTTTTCATGCACGTCAAATATTAATATCTATCACACTTGTTTTTTTGTAATTAGTAATTTCATTCCTTGATTAGAATATCATTCCATGTTTAGAATCATTCCATATTAAAATATTTAAAAAAAAAAACCGAAAGAAATTCAAATTTCACAAAGGGATGAAAATAATAAGAACAACTTAGATGAAATATTTATCTGATAATACCAATGCCATGCAAGTTCAGACGAATGCCACAGTCATGCTCAAAGTAAATCCATTTTTGTTTTGTATCACAGCCTTTCAGACTGTCATCATAATTAAAACAGCTGTATATCCATTACAAAGTTCACTCTAACAACCAATCTCAAGAACAATTCCCAAAATTCTCGAAAGAGAAGCATTCTAGAGATTGAGGAAAAATTCTATCACTGAAAAGTCCTTAACCCCATAGTGCATGGCTTATTAAACTAATGAATGTTTGTGAAACTGAGATTCGGTTTTCACCGACAAGTTATGGGAAATCATGTTGCAGATATTATAAATTTACATCTCATTTAGAAGCAACAAACCTTATGAGAAATTAATTTCTGGGTACATAAATTGAAGCTGAAATATTTTTTCTTCATTTACTGAATAATGAAACATTTTTAAAATATGTCAGATGCCACAGTGGTTGCATTGAAATTAACCAAGGTTTAGATATGAGTGTTCCATGTGTGGAAAAAGTACTGTTGAATTATCATTTTTGTTTCACCTTTTGAAATTTCTCTGTAAACAACTTCAGTAGAAGACAGTTACCTGCCCATAGTGAAACATGAAGAATATGAATTTACAGCTGTGTGACTGTCTGAAAGACTGATGGGGAAAAAAAGTGGGACATATATTGCTTGTCAGTCTGATTTGAGCTAAACGGCCACAGAATGTACCAAACACAGATCAGGGGAGACAACTGTACCCATCCACTGTACCTGGTTACCACCGAAGTGATGACATCCGCTGATACCCATAGCACCACCGCCAACTTGCTGTCCCATCGTATCTAGGCAACGCATTCCATGCTTCTCCTTCACCTGAAAACAGACAAGAAAAGCAAATCTGTATGTAACCACTATTACTGAATTTAATCTTGAAGAACCAGCTTATAGACTTTTTACGATATTGTAAAGTAAAGTCCAGGAGGTTTCATGTACATAGATAAAGTGGTTACAATTACAAGCAGGTGAATTGCTTAATTTTTACTTGATATCATACAAATGTTATTGAACAGCTCTTTCTTCATTTTTTGTCCATCTTATTGTTTAATTTTTTGTTGAATGTCATCGTTTAATATTGTTGTTTAGAATGAGTCTGACATGCTTACTAATTAAAATATAGCCTCAGATTGGTAGCTATTACAATATTCAATTTAAAGTTTTTTTATGCTGCTACATAAAGCATTGTTACAAAGACTGTACCATTATAAATCAGCAGGATTTTTAAAAACATTTTTATAAAAAAACGTTTTCAGAATTGACATGAATATTTTGGTACTCAATACTTCAGAAATATGATTGATATACTTTCCTTAATTAAAACCAAACCAGATTATCTACAGACCTACCTCACCCCAGGCCTTGTTTGGAGGAAGTTTAGGAAATCTGTCATAAACCTCATAGGCTACCTCCTCCATGAACCATTTGAAACTTTTACAATTGTGATCCTTTTTAAATTTGAGTTGTTTACTAATGTCTCCTACAGGGTAACCACGAACACTGGGCTCCCTGGTGTAGAAAAACTCCTTGTGTTCGTCATCAAGCCAAACTTCCACCACACGCATATAGTTCTGGAATAAGTAGTTCATATACCTATCATAACATGTTTATTCATATACATGTATACACATAGAATTTCCATGCAGGAGCAATCCTACATGGTATGTGTATCCTGTCCTCTTTGAGTGTACTGACTCCAATAGTATCTAAACATACATTTATATATTGTTTTATCTAAAAATAAAATTTACAAGCAATTTATCAACCTATTAAAATCAAATTGCAATGCCATTTTTTTTTTAACTTTACAAGTTCACCCTCCCCTTTAAAGTTGGCTAGAAATGTATTTTTACCTTAAATATTTCTATGTCAAAAATTTCACTCTCAGTCATACTCACCAATGATATGACAGGTATTTTAACGTCTAGCTTTCCAAAGCCATATGGCATGTGATTTCTGTATACATGGCCGACACGGGAACAAGGTACCCATTCTATACTACCTCCACACTGCCACAGCTACAGTCAGCATCAACAGATTTAGTATCATTGTAACAGGTGCATAATAAATATTATATGTATATTATAAGTAATATAATCAATATACATGTGAACAATATGTATTACAGTCTATAACTGTAACATGTGCATATACATGTAATAAGAAAATATCTATCAATCAAATCATTTCTTATTTGTTTTTTTAAAACAGTTTCATTTTCAATTTATAAAATTATTAAATTTATATAATATAACAGTTATAAGAAAATCCTGAATTATCTGTTTCTTTATTTAACACATTTGAGCACAAATTTAATAATATCCTTTCACAATCCATTATATAAAGCTATCCTACACAAACTCAGTTACCAGTAGGTCAATGATAATCAAAATTATCTTTTGAATCAAAAGAAAGAATTTGTATACCTTAAATGAGAGTTCGAAATTTTCACCGCCCCATATCTTTAAACCTTCATCATAAGCTCCCATTTCAAAAAAATACTTTCTGTCCATGGCAAAAAGTCCTCCAGCATGGGTTGGTGACCTAAACAATATACATGTCATAATAAAAATATCTAAAAATCTTAATAAAAAACTTTAACGAGAACTACTGCATTAAAATGCTTTTTTCTTGAAAAGAAAAGTGAAAATAAAAATTAAGCATAATTTGTTGAATAGTAAAAAGTTTGATGAATGACTGAACTGGGAAGTTTCTAATGTTCATAAACATGACATAAAGAGATAAGTTATCTCCCTGTAATATCGATATAGGTTAAGCACATGGAGTAAAGATGGTTTATGTTTACAGGTGTTAAATAGTGAAAATGTGATAAGACTTCAATATCAGTTATAAAATTAACTGTATGGTTCTTGTTTACTCGTGTTAGTACTTATACATATAGGTCACTTGTTTACCTGTATGGTTCACTGTTATGTTGTCGCCGACTAAGTTCTTTTTTAGGTACTGTACTCTCTTTGTACAGGAAGCCCCATTCAAAGATTCCCCGGTGGTGAGCTTCTCCGTATACTGGGTGGTAGCGGAAGTTGTCCCAGTCAATACCATCTACAATGGGCACGGCCATGATGGTTCTGTCAATACAGAATTGTGTAACATATAACACCACCATCAACAAAGGGTACAGCCATGATGGTTCTGTCAATACACAAGTGTGTAACATATAACACCACCATCAACAAAGGGTACAGCTGTGTACATAAGGGTACAGCCATGATGGTTCTGCACACAAGTGTGTAAAAAACTGTGTGTAACATATAAAACACCATCAACAAAGGGCACAGCTGTGTAACATATAAAAACACCATCAACAAAGGGTACAGCTGTGTAACATATAAAAACACCATCTACAATGGGTACAGCTGTGTAACATATAACACCACAATCTACAATGGGTACAGCTGTGTAACATATAAAAACACCATCAATAATGGGTACAGCTGAGACGGTCCTGTCAATACACAAATGTGTATCATATAACACCACCATCAGCATTGGGCACAGCTTTGATGATACTCTCAAAACACAAGCGTTCGACACTCAAGTGTTGAAATTCAAAATTACAATTTTTTTTTATATTAACAGTAGTACATTATCTTTTTTTGTATGTTCTCTTTGAAGTATGTTGGTACCAAATCTATGTACATTGTACCAAAGATTTAAACATGAAAAACTGAACAAAACACTTCTGAATTTGTTGCAAGAATAGCTCTACAGCTTAGTATAGAGCTGAAAATGTGGAAAAGAGCTGATGTCAGTACAGTAAATAGGTAGAGTACATACCGGTAGATAGTAAATAGCTGGAAAATGGATTCCACAAGGTAAGAAGGGAGTCACTCAGCAGTTACAATATCGAGATATCAGGTAGGAGTTGTGAAGCTGGTTAATGGTGAGAACACTCCTACCTGATGTCTTGTAAGTATAGAGCTAATGCAATTTTATATCTAACAGGAACTCTTACAAACACCGTACAAATCGATGCAATTAAACTGAAATACCATCAGCAATGATCTAAGAGTGAAAACATTGACAACAATCAAAGACAGTTGATAAAACACATTATACCTGTCATAGCGAATCCGTGCTAGAAGGGGAGGTAACCAATTCTTGTTACATTCACAATGGGCATCCAAGAAGACAATGACTTCACCAGTGGATAATTCAGCTCCTCGAGTCCTCGTACCAATCAGTCCAAGACGTTCTGTATTCCTGTACAGCTTTACCTTACCATTGAACTGTTTAATGTACTCCTCCAGCCTCCCTTTTAGGTGATCTGGTTCATATTAATAAAAAGCTCAATTACAACTCTCACAAAAATTATTTCTTATTTGTTAAACAATTATTTCATATTGTTTATTTATGCATGTGAAATGCATGCAATTTGAAAACTTTCACTCATCAATCAAAAGGTACATACACATGTAAACGAGTATATAATTATTCATATATGAAAAAACATGATGACAGCAGTGCCATGATCTTATAGCATTTTATAGAATGGCTAGTACTGATTAACATAACAAAGCTGTCAACTTGTTTCCTTGTTGAACAATATATTACTTAGGCAAATACAATATATTAGATAATTTTTTCGGCAAGTAAACTTTTCCTTCAAGCTTCCTCTTGGTCTACTTTTGACCTTTATATGATTCTCTTTTTTACAGTTTACAGAAACATATGATCTGGATATAACCAAGCCGATACACATTCTGCACTTACACCTGTGACCTGACTGATTTACACATGACCTGGTCATGACAATACAGGTTTGCATGCAACCTGACTAAGACTTGACTGGTTCACATGTGACCTTGCTAGCTACATGACCTTACTGATTTACATATGACTGGACTATGATCTGATTCATAAGTGACCCACTGGCCATGACCTGACTGATTTACGTGTGACCTGGATTACTGTAAATGTGTCATACCTTTGGAACTGTAATCATCTACCATGACAACCTCTTTCAGAAGGTGAGCGGGAGACATGTTGATGATGCTGTGTACTGTCCTCATGAGAGTAGACCAGCCTTCATTGTGAAACACTAAGATTACACTGGCAGTAGGTAGGTCCTCTGGATACTGCCAGTACTTACACCTAAATATTAAAACAGATATATTTAAATGTAAAATGATAAATTCTAACTCTGTAATGTAATTACTCCCCTACAGTGACTTCTTAAAATTTTTATCAATTTTGGCAATGGTATTTTTCATTTTAAATTCTGATTATAGATTTTTTTTTTACTTTGAATTTCATCACAAATTTTCTTTTTTTTTCTGAAAGTGTTGTTCTAAAGAATGTGTCCTCCAGCTTTTGGTAGCCTCTATCCTGAACCTGTCTGGCATTTGTTTATCCATTATTTACGAGATAAGAAAAAGATAGCCTTCTGACGGCTTTTATAACATTACTTACTCATCAAGTCTGGTGTCTGGTATGGTTCTGTCCATGGCTATCTTATCACTGTTGACCATGTTGAAGCCAAACTCCCTGGTGGAGGCGTCTGCTCGAGTCCTCTCCTCCATCTTGGTGTACACTGCCTGGCCATTCTCACCTTATACAATCAATCAGGGAAACAGTCAATCATTTTAACACACACACAATGTAACAACTAACTTGTACTCTAGATTAGACAATCTGGTTGTAATAGCTCTCCATCTTAAATATATCTACTATGTTAAGGATCTTTACATTCAACCATAGGGAAATATTGTCATGAAAATGCATGTATGTAGGTGATATCTGCATGAGACCCCCATCACCTCTCCACCAATCTAATTCAAACTATACAGAGTGACTTCAAGATAACAGAGGAAAATGAATAAGTAATGAAATGTCAAACATCAGCAGTGATCCTACTGTTTTCTTCTTCTTCTTCTTTTTCAATATTGATTAATAAAAACAAGCAACCCCCCCCCCCAAAATGAATAACCTGATAATTGATCATGATCTTAGAACAACAACTATTTTACCTGGTCCATTCCTTGAGGGGTAGTTTCTTGGCTCAAAGTTGCCTAACTGGCCAGGAGTGAGGCGTTGTGAGGGGCCAAATTTGTGAGCCACCTCCACCTGTACTTCCTCTTGTGCATTATTAGACTCAACCGGGTTGTCTACAACATTTTTAGGAACTTCCCCAGCCCCAACCTCATCTCCCGGTCCATCAGCAGCATCTGGGGCTTTAGGGACTTTCTGGCCGTGATGAGAGTCCTTGGCGAGCTAGAAACACAAATGTGTGAAAATTGAAACTTTGATCAAAGCCAAGTTATCTAAAACCTATCAAACAACATCATTAGTAAATAACAGAGAAATCTTAAGGGGCTATGTATTGTATAGAGTAGTTTAGCAAAAACATCATTCTTCAATGGCATTAAAAGCATCGCTGATGCCAATAAATCAAAAGAACAAAAAAAAAAACGATAAAAAAAAATTCATTCTGATCTGCAACCATTATGTAAGCATCATAATGATACAGCAATTTTTGGGACTCAAATATTTGTTTCCTGGACTCATGCTTTTCCAATGGGACAAAATTTTGAAAACCACTATCTTTTCTTGGTAACTAAAATTTTGTAAAAGGTGCTCAAGACTCACCATTAAAATATCCTAAAAAAATTCCTGACACTAGTATATGCTAATTAATCAGAAGCGATATATTAAACAGAATGGGAAATACACATGTATAAGCAATATAACAAGTGTAGTGTTAAAAGCATATCAGGATCATCTCAGATCTGTCAGCAGAACTCGGTGTAAAGATAATATGACAGCATCTAATACATCACAGGTAAAATATATAATACTTCATATATCTACAGGAAATGAAGGTGTTATGATAATTAACTGTTATTTTACTACATAAGGTTATATTTATGTTGACATATATTGACATATACCGGTGTGCATAGTAAATGTATACAGTGTTGGTTTGTCGATAAGACATGTATATATGTATAGATATCAACATGAGTTGACATCGTAAGTTTTGTTTATAATTCCTTAATTACCAATAAAATTTCATTCTGATATGTAGGTGACTTAATTGAGTCAGAATGTATTACATACACATATGTATCATAATTACACCATAACTCATCTTAGCAGACAAATCAAATTAAAAGTTGAAAATGAAGTTTAAAGTCATCCACATACTCCCAAAATACTTAAAGAATATTTCCTTTACAGTATATGTTTAAAGCTCTTCTATAATCTACAGAAGAAAATCAATTATTGTGTGATAATGAATGTTGAGCCAGATCCTTTCATATAAATGTATACATTATGTATGTTCCTGACATTGTCCGAGGGCCCTTTTTATTTTTGCTAACTATACAAATCAAATCTCAGTTACGATGCTGCATTTAAGATACATGATTTCAACATATAATATTGAAACATGACCCAAATTCACGACGCATTATTACTTTAAGAAAAAAAAAACATTACGTTGGAAATAATTTTGAATTCAAATGATTTAAGTATGTCTTACTTTTGGTCATATGTCAAAGGAATACATCTTTTTATTTCCTACAATTCTACAATCACCCTGCATACCTGGAGGTATCCAAGTAAGGGATAACAGAACATACACTATCTTTATGAGAAGAACAGCATTGGCTTTACACCTCTAAAGCTGTTCATTAGTAGGTGTATGTTGCTGTCGATGCTTATTGTGTTATGTGAGTTGTAATTATCTATGTTTGGTGTGTAATAAATTTTTGATTCATAATTCAGCCTTCCCCCCCCCCAAGAAAATTTCAAGCACAATATAAACTCTGACAAAAACTCTGTGCCCCTTTCACTCCTCTTGTTTGATGTTGTGTTTTCTACAGCTGGATATGTACATGCAGGTTCTTTGACTATTTTCTTATCCTTGCTAATGATTAATCTGAGGTAGTGTGCGCCAGCATACTGTACATCACTGAATTAATTCTGACATTCATTTATCATTTCATGAATAAATGTCATAAATACGTGACACGTAATCTGGGTAACATCAATTAACGTAGCCATGAATGAAATCAATAGTCGTATATCACTTCACAATAGAACTCATGGACTGAGTAAAAAATCACCATTGCTATTATGGATACTTTACGTAGATTAGTAGCTATCTACAGACATACTTGAAAAAAGGGACATGACTTTCAAATATTAGGAGAGATCTTAAGTTCAAGCGTAACTTCATTTTTTCATTTGAATAAATCCTAGTTTCCAATTTCATTTTTCAGATCTGGGATAAATATGTAACATTCAAGTACAGAAACAAATATATATCTCATCAACTGGCAGCAGTAATTCAAAGCTAAACAACCCACAATTTGTATTTTCTAACAAATGATATATACCTTAACTGGTATAACATTTAGTTCTTGCTTGTTATGTGTACTAAATGTAACAAACTGACAGAGACCACTCAAGACAAGACATACAATTAACGTTAATGAATGAATGAACAAATTATTATATAATCTCAAATTAAGTAAGTTTCAATTAAGGAACAATTTTGTATGTGTATTAGCGTAAAGATGTCATGGAAATTGAAAGTAGACAATGTAAGGGCACAATGACTCACAGACGTTAACAATATATCATTATATTTTACCCATCATATTTATTGTAGACATTTGTTTACCTTTATTACAACTCTTATGGTCAATCTCAGAAACTTGCATCATTTAAAACATTGCAATTCTACGACATAAACTATATATTTTAATCAGTGCACATGCTTTTGATTATTGTTATTGTATTAGAAAATCTCTGAATGTCATTGTTCTTTGATGAAAAGAAAAACCTTTCTAGCCAGGTGCAAGCTGAAAATAATGAATTGGCCAGTATTGTCATATTTTTTCCCCAGCAAAGGTATTCTTTGTGTATATGCTTACATCATGGTCTTCATTTGACCAAGTATACTAACTCATTATATATATGATGTACCTATGTATACTGTTACCAGTACATGTACATGTAGTTCATTTTTTTACCTTGATCCATGTTGTAGATGCATAGTACATTTGTATACTAAAAGCTATTTTGTATAAATACATTATTTGTGTAATTTACTTGATCCACTTGACAGCTATTCTGACATTATATGTTACATGTTTAACATTATATTGCACCTTAATATGCACAATACAGACAATTATGGTCACAGGTACATGTACATATACCAGTGAGTATCTATATATAAAGCATAAAAATGCAAAAGAAAAACTTGTAGGTTATGTATTTATGTATACATAGCCTCAAGCTCAGGGCTATGTTAATAACAGACTTGCATGTTCCCTAGTTATTATAATACAACCATGAACAATTTGCTCCAGGAAGCTTATATACAATGTATATGTAATGTCACCTGCATGTTACATACACATACACTTACATGTACACATACTCAGAGATAATTGGTTACAAACAATATTGTTTAATTGTTTTTTACTATGTTGCTTACATTTTATTAATTAATTGCATGCATGTATAAATATATATAGATACAGTGAAAACCATGTTCATTACAATCACAATGAACTATCTGAAATAGCTATATTTTTTAAATATTTCAAAGTGAAACTGAATACTCAATAATGTACTTGGTCATGAGATGTTATACAGTTAAGGAATGAATATTTATAATTAAATGTTTAAAACAATATTTCTCATGTGATGAAGTTGTTTTCAATTAAATCAATGATATCTGAGAAAAGTTTTAAATCATAATGCAAGTCGTGTGGAGTCGACAAACTCAAATCTAAAGCTTTGATATAAATTTCCAAAGTATATAGCTTAGCTTAGTATAGCTTAGCAGTTACTGAACGCAAGCATTATGCCTCTATATTCAGATCTGTAGCCTTATCACAATCCATTGTTTTAATATTGTCACTTCTGGTTGGAATAAAGATGTTATATGTTCTCTCCGCACTTTTCCAATATTTATCAAGCATTTTTTCAAATGAGTTCAAAGTTGGTGCCTGTACGATATCTTCTGGTAGAGAGTTCCACTCATTTACCACCCTTTGAGAAAAAGAAAACTTCCTGAGATCCAGATGTGATCTAGCTTTATATCTAGGTGCATAGATGGCAATGCACCAAATACAGTGAGTTCAAACAGTATTATAACCTACCTTATCTCTCTTCGATTTTGTGTCTTTGCTGCCATCAAGTTTCAGGAAGAAAAATGGAACAATGATAAGAGCGATCAAAGTGACAATTCCAAGCTTGACGATTGCTCCTCTTCTGTACCTTAGCACCCTCATAGCTCCAGTTGTCAAGGTATTCCTGTTTCGTTAACTGTTTATATTACCTTTATATATCTAACACGATAACATTTACCACGAATAAACAGAACTGCCGAAATATATGTATATTTTCTGTTATTTGTAGGTCACTTCAGAATTCCTGTACTTAACTGCACATAAAATAAAAATGACTTTGTTTCTTCTTTAGGAAATTTTACCTCGAAACAATTCTCTCTCTCGATATCTCTAACGCTAAATCAACGGAGTAAGGAATGAACAATGTATGACACGTAACAATTGCGTTGCCGAAGAACAGTCTGCAGATAATTGTTAGGAGCCCGAGGAAAAAACGGAACAATTCGTCCGGTGAATCTGTCAACGTGGCCGAAGTATCGACTTGTTCGGTCGGTGGTCAGCTCACTCCTGCGAAATAATATTCCAATGCTAGAGTCTAGAATTAATCACACAAAAGCAAACATCGAAAATCGCGATTATTATCCATGCACAATCAATACACGTGTCTTAGGAATTGGAACTCATTCCATTTTAGCATTGTTTTTTATCTTCGCTGTCTGCTAACCGGAAGTTGACACTAGATATACTTTCCTCGGTGAAGAGATTTAATTCAAGGGAGATTACTGCGTCAGTTATCGTATATACCATAATAAGCACACCTATGATTTTTTAGAACAAAAAGATTGATCGATGTCCAAGATAAATACAATGTTTTCAAGGTGTCTGACACTCTCGGGTACGATTATCCAGAAGTACTTAAATGTGTATGTACATGTAGGGTGTAATAAATATGTAAAAGGAGATTCTTGAAACCGAGACTGTACACAGGTACATTGTAAGTATTTTGTATTTTACAACATTCATTAATTCATCACACTGACTTTTTCGACACATTTTAGCGTCTTAGTTAGTGATGTTATGACTTCGTGTGTGTTGTTCAATTATCATTATTTGAACTTTACCGCTAATATTGATTACGAAGGACATCTATGAATCCCGAGAAAGATCGATTAAGTATACCCAAAGAAATAGTGATAACAAATGTTCACAGTCAAATTCCACCGCATTGCAGCCATTTTATCTTTTGTTCAGTTCCAAAATTAAAAAGGCCCAACAGGGGATGTTCACAGTCAAATTCCACCGCATTGCAGCCATTTTATCTTTTGTTCAGTTCCAAAATTAAAAAGGCCCAACAGGGGACAAAGAAAACCTACATATGGAATTTTGGAAAGATCTATTCGGTGCTGCTTCAGAAATAACGACAAGAACGGCTGCCTAAACTTAAGATAGCAACCCTAAAAACACCCTTTTTCGGGAAGTTAGAGTAATCTCATAATTCATAAATAATACATGGATATCCGTTTGTGGGTAATGCAAATTATACTGTAGTTATTCATTATCTCCGGGTAATTATGTCAAACAGCTTGGAGTAGTATACTATGATAATACCTGTTTATTATCCTTATTCAGGGATCTTACCACAATGGTGTTAATGAGTGTACACGTGTCAGATCCAGCGCTTGTCCATATATCACCATTTCTGCGATAAATATCAACATACGATAGCTAACAACTTAAGCCGTCGACGGATGTTTGTTGACACATTTTGATCTTATTTGGAAATAATATATTTTCTTGTATATCAAGAATTTCAAGAATGATTTTTGGAACGCGCGACCACCAAATTACTCGAATAAAGTTGCATTTCTTATTTATCGTTCATGGAGTTAGAATCAGAATGGCGTGCTATTAATGAGTTCATATTTTTGTTGGAAGTTTTCTGAAGTTTTCCGTGCTATTGATATTTTCCGTATAACGTGTTGCGCACTTGTATTTATTCACCTTTATCTTTGCCAAGTCTACGTCATTTGATTCCTCTTTCTGCTAGATATTTGTTTACTTCTGTAACGGTATTTTGATCGGCTATATTTTTGTTGATTGCCTTTCGATGTCGACGGTAATCTATGATTGCCGCTGATCATTTTTTTCAGCGCACAGGATTTGCTAATTGTCATCATAGATAAACATTTCTTTGCGATCGATATAGTATCGGTTCGATGTCTGATTGTTGGACCTTATTGTGAAGTGTAGGTACCATGTGTTTACTTATTTACTGTCTTTGACAGTTGTATCTGTCTACACCGCACATGTATGTTCATTTTGTAAGTTCATCTTTAGTTCTCTCCATGTCGTAAGGTTCGCTGCTTCAGAGAGTTCGTTGCTGTTAACGAGAAACTGAAGACATTTGCACTTCTCTTACATAGAATGTTACAAGTATACTCAAATTATATTTTTTACATGGCGGTTTTGGATCTGACGCGAAAGTTGTTACAAGATCCATTCAGGACCGGTACAGTTAACATACAATGGAGTCCCGGAGATAGATTTAACCAATCTTGGCTTGTTACTAAGATACCACGCGTCTCCCTACCTGTAGGAAGACTTGGATCACAATAGGAAATATAAAAAAGAATTTCAGGTATCATCGAAATAAGCCTAACATGAATTGTGGTTTGTATAAGAATTTTTACTTGTCTGTAAGACTAAAGTCTCTGTAGGACGGTTTTATTGTCTATCTATGATGGTTTATGTTGACTTAGCTATTGGAAATCTACCCCGAGTTATAGCAACAAATACAAAGATTGGTAGATCAAGGCAGAAACGTATGCACATTATAAAACATAATTTATTACACACAATAAAACACTCTAAACAACGGAAAAACATTAAATGCTTTAGTAAAATAAATCGTTTTATTGATAAAAAAAATCTATATCATAAACATATGTTACCTCTCATACACTAACAAATCCTCTAGAACACAGCAATACAATATAAGTCATTTATCAAGCCAAACTGAGAAATATTAAACGGTCCTCAACATAAAGTGTGTAACTTCAATAAAACAAACGGATGATAAAACAATGATAGCATCATGTGTGTTTCATTCTTGGAAATACAGACAGCAATGTATTGTGTTCATTTCCTGTAACATATAGATCTATGTCTAACAGTTGGCAAATCTTATCATAAATACAACATCACACAATTTTACATTCAAGAATATCCATCAATATATTTATACTGTCGTATATATAGCACCACATTCACTTTACTTTATTCAGTCCGTCAGTAAAGTTAACACTTCCCATCGATAGCTTTGTTGGTGGATCTGCTGACGTAAACAAACCTAAAGAAGGAAAGTGTCACTGTTTGGGATTTAGAATAGACCAATCGATTGCAAGTTATTGGTAGTTTTCGTTGACACTTTGACCAATGAAAACGCTTTCCAGTGTCAAAAGTTTCTATGGTAAAGGCGTTTTATGAAATAAAAGCCGGAGTCAGCTTAAAATTTTAGAGCGATCCGGAAAAGATACCAATTTCTGTGTTAGGTGAAGCTAATGGCATACTTTTAGTTGGTTGGCCAAATAAAATCAACATATGAAATTATGAGATCCACTATTAAGAAAATCAAAGCGGTGCTAGTTGTGGCGATGCCAATGAACCGCAAGCATAACTGAGACCCAATGCCAGCTGGTGATGCTAAATCTATGGGCAGTCAGCACGTGTGTAAAATGGAGGCAGTTTACAACCAACATATTGGGCTAGGTCGGTAGACCTTTTGACTGCAAGTAGAGCTAACACTATCAGGTACGGTTGTGGCCGAGAAGAGCCAGTCTGAGTGACCGTACTGGCATTCAGTTTGCCGTTACAGTTAACAATCAGTGTCGTTATGGTTTGTCTTTGGTGTGTGAGCCATTGTGTCAGTGTTGAGGCTAACTCTGCGTATTCGTATATACCTCTATGGCGTGTCTACTATCAAGATAATTGACATCCGTTGTCATCTTTATAACGTGGATTAACATACTCTATTTCACTTATGGACGGCACTTTCTGCAGAATCTTGTCTAAGGCCACGACTACAGTGGACATGACAGCACGATCGATACCGTACCCAGTCAAGGAACTTGTTTCCACCAATGGTATGTTAAGTTTGTCTGCAAACGTCTGTAAAATAATACATATACAGATATAATTATTTGCCAATGTGTCAAGTTTAGTTAACATTTGATCTTCTTTACAACTGGAAATAAGTTTTCTGTCTGTCTGATCCGGATTGGGTTTTGAGGTGAAGGACGTGTTATACACCAGTCAGTATAGAGCCATGAATGATTTCAAGCAGAGATCCGATGACATATCCTTTGACCTGAGCTTTAAGTTTTGAAAATATACCACACCCGATCTACTTTCTACCACTGGGGAATACCCATGTAATCACACTATAAGGCAGATTAGAACGCTAGGTTTTACACATTTAGCTTCGTTGATAAAATCACTCATACTCTTATCTCTTTGACTATTGTAAACAAAGACACACAATTTCATAACACCTTTCGATACAAATTTATAATTATATACATTATAGCTATTTGAAGAAATCAAACTACATCACAGAGCTGTTCCGTCCTTATAGGTCTTGATGCTAAGGAACTAAATAGCTGAATCTTAGGGGGCTACAGAGGGAAACTCAAATTCGTAGAAAGAAAATTAATATTAACTTCCATTTTTATATGTCTCAGTCCTACAAAGTTTATTTTCAGATTTCCTGGCTAACAAATTTTACGTGCCAAAACTAGTTAAAGTCCCTTTTAATCACACAAAACAAATACATCTTAACATGTCTGGCATGGAAAGGCTGCAGACGAACGATGACGGACAACAAACATCTTTTTTTGCTAGTCATTTCCTCCTGGTACCCTTACAAACTGACTTGAATAAAAGAATGTATTTTCGAAGGATATATTTCTGCATCGAATGATGGAATAACGAAAGAGACATTATTTACGAGGTAAAGTTGTCTAAATGAAACTGAAATCCTAGTTAGAAAAATCCTGACTGAACTATGTATTGTCTTTTCTATCTATTTAATTGTTGGTACCTTTGCCGTCTTATAATCAACTTGACGATCCACATGATCACATTTGGTCCCCACAATAACAACTACTACATCTCGGAATCCATTTAGCTCTATGTCCTTCAGCCAAACTTTGTCGATATTCTCAAAGCTGGACTTCAATAACAAAAGTACATACTGTGTAACATAAAACATGATATTTGAAATATAACCCCCAACCTCAAATCCTCCCATGCCCGACTCATACATATATATCACATTATCATAGGAAAAATATTTTCCTTTCTTTTATCTAAAAAATTGCATTGGAAACTAACATGTTCGACTGTACGTACATATGTGAAGATCAATTAAGGCTAGCATCACTTTAACAAAGCAAACTGGATTTTAGTTAGTATATCTGCGTTTGTTACAGTCTTTTTTGTCTTCTTAATTTAACATTTAATACGATTATAACATGCTACAAAGGTACGATGCTATCTAGCTAAGTACATACTGTATTCGTGACGTCATATACGACAATGACACCATGGCAACGCTCATAATATGGTCTAGTGCTGAACCTCTCATCATTTTGTGTCTCCCACTGAAACACAAGTACGATTAATACATTGATCTTGACAAAATGTGCATAATTATGTAGTTCTTAAAATTAATAAAGAATTGAGGCAAAATAAAAGTTAAGCTTGAGTTTTCGTTACCAATCGTACGTCGACCTCTGAGCGATCAATCCAAACTTTCCTCCTTAACTGTTAAAAAAAAAAAATGAAAGAAAAACAATTATATAAACTGTATATTGATCATAAATCACCAACTACTTTCTGTCGGTTCAGTATTGCCTAGTGGTCACTAAGCTTACATGGGCCAGGAAACAAAATGCATGTAAATAAATTAATATGTACTTTCAGATCGTTTTTTTTTTCATTCCAAATATATTTCATATATGACTGATATTATTGAATTATTCAATCAATAGTATTCAAACTAAACTGCAGGTTAGAAAATAATCTACCAATGACGTACCTACGAACAGACACTTGTTTGAAATTTTGAGGTTCCGAATTGTTGAAAAACTGTAAACATTGAAGGTATTAGATTGATTTCTAATCATTAAAACGGATGTGCTTTCAATCCGAAATGCACATAGGCAACAACAGGAAAGATATTTCACGAATATCTCCCATTAGAAAATGCTGCCACCTTTTACTTTGATCTAAGTCATCAACCTATCCTTTTTAAAGTGTATGACTGACAAAAGACGACAGCATGGAACGTTTTGCTGAGATCAGAAAGGCGATATATATGGGTACGAATGCAGCTAATAAAATTGTTAAATGACCTGAGAATATTGATATATAATCACTGAAAACACTTACAAAACTACAGCCATTATAGTGGTACGAATCAACAAATGTTCCATCCTGCAACGCAAATAAAATGTCGGTGATATCTTTCTGATCCTTAATTTTCAAAGATGCTACATCAACATAAGGAAGGAAAATATTTTTGCATCTATTAAAAAAAAAAAGTTTAACTTCAGGTAACCAAATATTCTTTATATTTGGATTATTTGTTATTTTCGTAAGTCATGTATTTGACAACTGCACTGGATGTTACTAATCGTATATTTGTCTGTTGACTTTTGAATATACATGTATTAAATTTACTGACTAGGAGTACAAGTGCCGTATGTACACATATGAAATGGTAAATAAGAAAAATGTAGAAAATATTTAGAACCTTGAAGATTTTTCTACTGTAGTTGAAATGTTTCAAATTGACAAAAGAATACTTGAAGATTATTTTACCACAAAACGTCGTATGAGGCTTGTCTTTCCAGTTCGGACGTCGCCGATCAGCATCAGATCTACAATGACCAGTCCCTGACTGGACAAAACAAAAGCTTTTGATTTGCTGTGATACATAATGTATCATATCAAATAAACTAAATATAAAAACGTTAATGGGATCAACTCCTGAAGACAAATTAAAAAAAATTATATTCGGCATTTTTCTTCAGGTGAAATCAGGAACGTTGTGAATAATGAAACAAAATAGTGGCAGCATTGATCTCAATTGTTATCTCGTCACTAGGACGACGACTTGGAAACAGATCTGTTATCATTCCACCACCTGCTCTTATCTTGCATTCGAGAAATTGATCCGTAGGTATTATATGTTCAGTCTCTCTAATAAGAAATACAACAGACAACCTACCATATACACAGTGCACAACTGAACAATGCACCAGATGATATATATAGACATATACCTATATTTACACCGGTACGTTAACCTCTGTATCGTTCAAAGTAATCTATAGTCCACGTGAGGTCATATCCTATATACGATAATAGTAGATATAATCTTCAGAAGGCAATACAGGCATAGCGAAAGATGAAATACTTTCGTGTAAAAACAACATCTTGAGTTTTATTCAAGTACACGAATACACAAGTACCTCTTGTAATAATTTTAGGTACACTGCATATGTCAGGTTTAAATACCGGAAACGTGCTAGTGATTGTACATGTAAATAGTGCACACATACACATATTGTACACACACATGTATACATCGTCTGGCGTATCACCTGAATCAACATTAAACATTGACGGTACAAATCAAACTTGGCCATCAAATGATGAACATTAAATATACAAAACATATGAAACCAAGGTTATTATGTGATGGTCAGGCGGCCATAGCGGACGACATTCCAAAGTTGCTTAGGATATTAGTTGATGTAATTTTCAACCACACCTTCGTCTCAATAAATGCAAATACCTCTCACACGATCAACTTGTCTAGATATACAGGGATAAATAGAAAGTGTATAAACAACGATAAATGATTTAAAAACCGAATGCATAATTTGTAGCATAATCTTATCATTGGAAGCCGAAAAATAAGAATGTAGCCACACAAGATATTGTTATTATACATAAGGGTTACATAAGAATATGTGATGGTATCAGTATATATCTCACCTAAAACGGACGGTGTTGTACGGTTGAGGAGGCTTTCCTGCCTCATTATTGTTATTCATTCCGAGTATCCAAACTCGCCCATGTTAGACAGGAAATGGCGTGTAATTAAGAGACGTATATACATTACGTGCTGGTGTCAGTCTGGTTTGTTTTCTCTTGTCGTCTATTGCTATCGGCCTTGTGTAAGAACTGGGACGTAACCACATATAACCACATGCTTGTACAATAGGCTTGTGATCGTATATAGCTTCCGGCCACGGGATCTATATATGGAAGACCATTAATGTAGACTTCGTGACCTAGGACTCGAAATTTCTGGGTTAAATCCTCTTCGCGACCTAGGACTAGCAAATTTCTGGATTAAATGTAACGCACAGCATTTAATCCACGACCAAGATATCATAAGAACGTTTTGTAAAGATAAATTAGCGACGCATTTCTTTGATCCTAAATATAACACATAAAGATATCGAATATTAAGATCATACCTTTGTCACACGCAGTCATTACATGGCGTTGAAAAGAAAGATAGTGCATTAGGATGGATCAGATAAAATTATACCAAACTGTCAAGATCTTATAGAAACAAAGTCAGGTTATATAGACTATGTTTTCCTTCCATGGAAATCCCGTTTGTCTCGATGCTGTGCAATTTTGTACAGCCTTAAGTTCCTACAGCCAAGAGTACCCGAATTTGGAACACATTAGTTTCTCAAGTAATCTATTGTTTCGTTGTCCCTGCTCCCGATTTCACGATTTCCGTGAAAGATGTTGATAACTGACACATACAATTTCTACACAGAGATTTGAGAGATGATGATGGATGAAAAGTATGGACACATAATTTTTGTTGCTATGATGATCTATTTGGAAAAGTTCCTATTCCATGCAATTTATTATGAATTGCAAGAGAATACGTACATATAAAATCATAGTAATTAAAAACAATCTACATAACAAATGTTCTTGTTTTATTTTCCTTTAACCATTTTAAGAGTACCCGTTTAAATGTTTCGTTTGTTCATATTTTGCGATAGTTCTGTCCATTTTGAAGTTGAATTTAAATTTTGTTAATGTGTCGGCTTTTATATACGGTTGTAGATGGAAAAACTTATGTTTTACAGCTCACTGTGTTCCCTAGTATTTCCTATTTTCTATACACGGGACCGTTAGAAATTTTGAGTTATCCGAGTACATGTATTAGGTTTAAGTAAAATTAAATGTTTGATGAAAAAAATTAAAGAGGTTCTTTAGGTTATACGAGTTTGAGATAAAGAGTTTCGACTGTACATGTAGATATATTCTGTTTGATTTGTTATCAGCATAAAATGACATTTCATCAGCAGAATGTTTTATCACATTGTCTTGGAAATGTAAATAAGATGTAATGTGAAATCATGAAATCATTGAATTGGGGTATATACTGAATGTAATAAGTATATATGATTTAAGTACTTATTAGTCCTTGCAGCAGTTTCCTGGTGTTCGTTATTATTAACTGCGCTGTGATAAATATCTGAAGAGCACTAAAATGCATGCAAATGTTGGTTGATATGCAAAATAAAAAAACCCCACTTTGTTAAAATGGAAAACGAAAATACTTATTTTATTGACAAGTGATAATAGAAATATGCACCTATAATACATTTCATCGACACTCGTGAGGCATTGCTCATACGACACGAAATGATTATGTATTTCCAATGCTTTACTGAGTTATGGAATGTTTTATCACACAATACATCGATAACCTTATAAGTTAGTTTTCATGGTGGTTATGATTTCCATCTGTTGGAAACCATAAAAGGCCAAGACCAATTGTATTAGGAACATTGGCATGTGTTCAAAACACATACATTTAATTGGAGTAGAGGTATATTGCACTTCCATACATCTATGTAAAATCTCTGTCGATCCTCTGTACATCAGGAGAGGTTACATCGGGCGTTGGTGGTTTTGATTGGTGGAAAATATTCCTTTATGGACGACGCGTTTTGTAGAATCTTGTCCAGGGCCATAGCTGCAGCAGATATGACAATACGGTCGACACCATAGCCAGTCAAAGAACTTGTCTCCATTAATGGTATGTTTAGTTTGTCGGCAAAACTCTGCAAATACAGTAAGGGCTAGTGAAAATAAATACTACATTATTTAAAAAAACATCTGTACTCAGCTTTTTAAATGCTTAGATATTTGTTTTTCTATATAATCATGAGATTTTTAAGTGGATTCAGGGGTTCGTAAACTGCCGCCCCTATCACTATAAAAATGAAATACATTTGATGCGTCACTATCAATTTTGTTTATTACAGCTTTACTAGTTAAATATCTTACTTGGCAAGCTATCTTATTCATACCTGCATGGTTTAAGAATTCTCTACAATATCACAGAACACGGGTGAAACAGAGAAATATAATTAGCTGTGGTTGATTTACATACTGGATGCAGTCCTAGAAACAGTTTCAATGATGATGAAATTCATGCTTTAAAGTACAGTACAACTGAACATATCCCCTCTTTCAAAGGTTCTAGTTTCTCTTCTAGTATAAAGAATGATGTTCCATTTATTGTTATGACACGAGAATGTGGTTTGATGTGTTTGGCGTTGTTTTCACAATGACGAAAACATAAAATTATTAAATTCAGATTAGACATGATATACACCATCTGGATAAGACGAATGAAGAAAGTATTCATTAAACCTGATAACTGTTTTTCTTTCATAGACAGATGGGAAAACGGCATTATGTTCAATTCACTATTACGCAGACATTGTACTTTTAAATGATTCCCACTTAGAAGTTATTCACAATTAACAATTATTAGTGCGTGGTCCCTTCATTCACACTTAAATGATGTTGTTTTACATACGAATGTTCTATCTTAACCTATTATCCTTCTTGATTGCCTGCAGGAGAACTACACTACAGGTACCGGTCACAATCTATTTTTCATTGAGCTGTTTCCTGCATATGCAGATTATATAGTTATTTAGCAGCTCACTGGAACCTTTGAATCACACCATGCTGACAAAATAGAACTATCCTATGGTGAAGGAATGTTTCAATGAAAACAGTCAAAATCATAAATCCTAAAATGGTGATAATGATCATGGTCATGGTCATTCTAAATTTAGATATAAAACTGATTGATCAGAAGACTATTATTGAAGTGGAGAAAATGAAAACGAACGAGGTGAAGACATTTGTTGCTCCATGGAATGAGGTCAAATTCCACTTCTGATGAATGAATCCGTTGAAGTTCGGAAGTGAAATCGATAGAGAGTAAATATACCGTTATCCTTTGTTAATTTCAAAACAGTTTCTGTTGGTATGATTTTTCCCTTAATTAGAGGACAAAAATAATCCAAAAGAAATTATAAATAAAACATCGGTATGATATAGGTATGGTACCTTTGCCGTGACGTAGTCAACCTGACGATCTGGAAGATCACACTTAGTTCCCACCAGTATCACCACTAGGTCATCAGATGCATGCTGTTCTATGTTCTTCAACCAAATCTTTTCGATGTTGTCAAAGCTGGACTATAAAACAAAATATCTTTTCATCGTGCTGTTATTAAACAACCACGTCTCTGCCGTGTATATAATTGTTTCTATCTAAAGGATAACTAGATCATGGATATATGTATGATGACTGCAATAAATACTTATACAATGCGTTCTGTTATAATGATTTAATGCATTAACGAAAATGAAAGAAATTATTATTTTGAATTTAACGGACAATGATACGAAACAAATAAAGCGGCCAAGTTCATGGAAAAAAGTAAAAATTGATATTGAAGTATCGAATTAAGGAACCATGCTAATGTAAATGGAAATCCTATCCTATGTGTAATGTCTATTACATTTATCTTATATATCTGTTTGATGTGAGGATCATGGAGGAGGCATAACTTGATACGAAGTTGGTCTTTAACAAATATTTTTATATATCAATATTTGCTGCATGTCTTGTCCTGTCATTCCAGCATAAGCATCATACTGTTAGACCAAGTTTCGGGTAAGTGGCGTCAATGTTAGTAGTGTTTTAACTTACCATGTTTGTGACGTCATACATTACAATGACGCCATGGCATTGCCGATAGTAAGCTGATCCAGGACCCCTATACCGTTCACCTCCATAGGTGTCCCACTGAAACGTAAAGATTTCTTGTAAATTTACTTTCAGTAGAAAAAGGTATGCGGTTTTCTAAACGTGAGTAAAAATAAAACTTCATGAAAGGTTTTTTAAAAAAAAGGTTTATGTCATTATAGTATTTCATCTTGTGGAATTTTCAATATGATTTCCCCCCGTAAATATCTTTTATCAGTTATATATCCTTATACCATTATCAAAGTTTAAATATTGTTTCGAACTTTCATTGCATAATTAACGCATACCTCATTCACTTTCAATAGCACTCAGTGTTCCATGACACATGTTACATACATAATACATGTATACATCATCATCAATATTAATTATGGTATCAGTTATATATGTTTTACTATACCAGTCTAAGTTTGATTTCTGAGCGGTCAATCCAAACGTTCTTGATGAACTGTAAAATAATTGTTATACGCACAATAGTCAGTCATCATATAGTCATTTCATTGCATATTACACACAAAAAGGTGTATATTTGTTATCGATAACTTGTATCTTAATTCAATTTCATGAATACAAACTGTGAAATTATAAGTTTTTATGCAAACGAATTGTACATTCAGTATATATAAATACAAATAATAAATATTAGCACGGATTTGATATAATCAACTTATGATATATAGCTTGATAAGCTTTCAATCATTAAAACAGAGGCATGGTTCAGAATAAGCACATGTACTCGACGTTGTTCTATGTAATTAGATATATCAAAATTACATTATTGAATTATCACAGTCTAGATTTTGACTTTTCATTTCATCACATTCAGTATTCCTCAGACGCCTGCAGGAATTTAAAATTTAGGCCTTTCACATCACTGACGCGTCCTAGAAGGACGAAGCAGTTGTATGATGTATTTTTATTCATTTTTACCATTTACTTTTTACTTGTAAGTTAGATAAAAAAAGTCGCTATTCACTTAGGTGTCTTTTGTAAAATCTTGAAGTCCCAGACACAAGATTACTTGAAATACTTACAAAATCACAGCCGTACGTCGGACCGCTTTGGACAAATGTTCCTTCCTAAAACAGTAATATCAAGGATCTCGCTGACACGATGGACTGCGCATACGTATATTTCAATGTAATTTGTTCAAGTAATGAAAAAAACCCACCTCTTAATAGTAATTTTGATCGTTCAAATGTGAAATATATGTTTTTTGCATGGTATATGGTCATGTTTCCCTGCAATAAACCATTTGCACGTTCATCGTGACGTTTTTCATAAAGCTGTCGCTAGATCCATTGTATTGTTCCTCTGTTGAAATAGCTTGATGAGTTTTGACTCTGATAAAAAGTGTATTTCTCTTCATACTAGTCATTTACTACTATACACGTTCTTTAGCTCATGCCAAATTAACTTGCAATAATATACAGAAAAAACAAAATACCGACTAGTTTTTTTTTTCAAAGTCAAAATAGATGAAACAAGGACAACACATGAAATAAAGATTTTCACAACGATTCAGAAAAAAGTGTAATGAGAAAAAGATTGGGAAAGCATCTGCTATAAATCTTGGTTGACCCAGTAAAGTAATGTCATGTTCTCAAATGAGGACAATGTCAATAACGGAAACAACAAACATTGCAATATGATACAAAAATACGTGTTCTCACATTTTGAGCCATTCCCTATATTGACAATGAAGTCCAGTTCCTGACAAACATAAGTACAAATAATACACAAATTATATGTTTGCACGGTAGGTTGGTTGACAGTCAATCAAAATAAGTATTCTTGAAATAATAAAAAAAAAATGAATTGTACTGAAGAGAATACTCGTGTTCAATGGTTTATATTTTGTAACATTAGAGGACAGGAATTGACATAGGGGATACTTTAACACTTTAATTTTCTCTGATAAGCAAATGGTCATTATTACCACAAATCGTTGAATAAAGCAGGTCTTTCCAGCATTGTAGTCTCCAAGTAACATCAGGTTCAGAAATATGGTTCTTTCCCTGTAAAATATAGTCGTTTATTACTAGATAATGAAATTATAAGAAACGGATATGAATTAGGAAATGTATTAATTGCATGTCGTCCTTTGGTGAATTAACATCAATTAATTGATATCATTTTACAATAGATCTGTGAACTTTTGATGTTCCATAATTTAGTTTTCAGCAGTAAAATTCAATAGAGCATAATTCATCTGAGTGTTAGATGACGACATTACTAAAATATTGACATCTTTAAGAGAAATGACAACATCATATATATTTTCCTTCATTAAAAAGAGAATGAATCATTCTAAGTCACCTTTCCTATCACAAGGTATCTCTTGCCTATACAGAAATGTTACAAGGACGCAGTGTCATTTCCCATACCCTTTTTAACGTTTCGAATCTTTGCATTTCGAAATATATTTGATAAGTAAAATATATAAAGGTGTATATATGGAACTGATCCAGTGATTAAAAGTATGTTTAATTTCCATTTCAAAGAGTTACTGTCTACTGGTATTTTAAAACTTAAATACATTGAGAATGTCCCTTTTTTTGGTTACTGTCCTATTTATAAGGTCCTGTGCCATCAGGATGGATTTACGGGAGATATTCCATATTCTCTGTGTAGGGTTATGTATTAATTATAGGTACAGTAATAGGTTGTTCTAGCTAATATTTACATACGTATAATGTTATCTAAATCAGTAATATTCATTGATATTTACACGCATACATAACAGTAGTCTAATAAAACCCGATGGAATCCGTCTTCCATAGAAAACAATAAATGTTCTGTATGCTGTAACTTTAAAGTTAATATCAATCAACACATTCGTGAACCTATTAATTGGACGGTCACAAGAAATACATGTGTTCCATATTCACAACCAGACGTAAGTGTTACATATATGAATATTTCTTTAATTGATATCGGAAGATATAATGTCGTGACATTAGTACATTTGAAACGACATATACGTACTCCTATGTTTTGTTCTATTTATCTCCCCTGTCTCATCTCCATGTGTTCAGCAGTGTGTATAGTCTGCTTGTACATATGTGTGAGAGCTTAAGATGGTCACACATACGCATACGCATCAATGAAAACATTTGCTTACCTACAATGGATAGTTTCATACGGCCGAGGGAGACGCGCAGCCCCATTGTTGTTATTCATTTCATCGTAAGATATCCAGATGCAGCCATTTCAATTTGCCTGCTTTCACTATCCTCCCTGTGCCTATACTGCGATATATGTAAATTTAGATTATGAGTCACGGAGCTATGTATGGAAGACCATACATGTTTACGTGGTTATATAGAATGCCAGCTAAATGTTAAAGCAAAAGATCTCCACATTATTAAAAGGTTTGAGTGCATTATAAAATAACAACCCAAATATGTGCTCGATAGTACTTTTCTAATTTGCTATATTAAGTTAGTGTTCATTAGATGAAAGTTTTTCATTCGATTTCAAGTAATGACTCGATAACATATGAATACTGTCCTTAATGGACGATACTAAGTGATTATCTTTTGATATCTTAGTATATTTTTCATCTGCTAATTTATTCTCTTCTAAGGTCTCTGCTAATACAGCCCCTCCGTTAACATTTTAGCTCACAGTTCGCCCGTGTAAGGTAGATTTTTCGATACACGATATTTAATTAGAAATAACACTATACCATGCATCATATTTCAATCACAGTATGCATACGCTATTTTGCCAAACATTTTATAGTCCTAATCTAACTTTTTTAAAAATTAAATAATGCATCTCCATAGAGTCTCCATAGAGCCATGTTATAGAAATAAAATGAAACTTGTTATGTGTCCGACTCCGTGAAAAATACCAATTTGCCAGTTGTCAAATACACAGTTTTCCTCTTTATAGCTATTTATACACTTGTTAGCTTCCGTTTGGTGATATCTAAAGTGGCTGTGCCCAATATCCAGCAGTTGCTCGCATCAACAAGAAAATATTCCATTCCTCTTTGCGATATCTATTTTTTGATACCCGTAGGTATACCTGGTATTTTCAGTATTGTAAATCTCGTTTTCATTTGTGAACGTTGCGTAACTTACTCGGCTTGGCCATGATTTATATGATGGGTGTCGAAGGTAAAAGATAAAATGCCTACCTTTCCGGAACACCTGGTATTACACTCCTTGTACATGTGCAGGGGTCTTTCTTCTGTTCATGTTACCATGGTGTGATCGATTTTAGACCAGATTACCAATTAACAAACTACGTAATTAAAAAATCACTATGCAGCTGCTCCTCTTCTTTCAGGACTAGTCAGTGGTGCTGGGACCGAAAGGATTTATGTACATATGGAATGTGAAATAGAAAATTGAAATTGTTTCAAAACAGATGCTAAACAAAAGCGGCGAATTTTGAAAAGTCCACGAGGTTACTCCAACATGCTTATCACATTTAATTCATTGGGATAGTGGCACCCTCCAATTATACGGATATATTTGATGTTCTTTTGTAATGATTCACTAGTGAATTTGTTGAATTTTGACATTTATATCAACCAATTCTGATTTCCCACAATTACCAAGTAGATTTCAACAATTAAGGGCCATGGTATCAGATCGATTCTCTTCAAAAATGGAACACAAAAATAGCTTTATTGTTGATTATATAACAAAAACAATCATGTGTCATACAGCTTTTCGATTCATAGGAAAACATTGTTTATACAAAGAGATCAATCATACAAATACATACTTTCAATTAAGTTGACCTTTTGTCATTCGATATTTGGGACACACTTAGTCTATCACTAAATTAGCATCTTATGCTAACTATTCACTTTTATATATGCACATGAACATGAACATGAAGATATACTTTCAATAATTGAACGTGGACAATTTTGTAGGTGTTTTGGAACTGCAGTTATAAATCTGCAATTGCGAGTGTAATTGTCACTGCATTTTTAGATGCAGTTGATTAAAAGCGCTGTTGTTAGACGCTTGGACAGATATTGTATTTGACTGCTGGCACCAGTGTCAGCCTTTAGACTGTTGGGCAGACATTTTATCCGATTGCATGTGTCAGCTCTTAGGCTATTGGACAGACATTGTGGTTACATGCCGGTGTTAGCTGTTCTGTTAGAAGTTTAACTGACAGTGTAAACAACAGTTTATGTTGTTCGACATTCGGACATACATTTATGTTGACTGCTAGCGCGGTTGTTAGACTGCTGAACAGATATTTGTTTTGACAGCAAGTATCAGTTAGTAGATTGCCTGACATACAATGCAATTATTTGCCACCGGAAACTATTACGAAAGCGCACACGGCCATCATAAACCCTTGTAAGAGTTCTGTCGACTTTTTTTTCCAACAGGAGAATTCTCATCAAGTGTTGGTTTGTCTGGCTGTTTCGAAGCATTCCTTAATGGACGATGCGTTCTGTAGGATTTTGTTTAAGGCCAATGTTGCAGCTGACATGGCAGCACGGTCGATACCATACCCAGTCAAGGAACTTGTCTCTAACAGCGGTATGTTTAGTCCGTCAGCAAAACTCTACAAATAAAACAATTATATGTCCATGAAATGTGACCATTTTCCCATTTTCTTATCGATTTATCTCATAACACTGTTTTGTTTATTATGATATTTCTATTTGCTAATATAAGTATATATTTTTATACTTCTATGTAAAATAAAATATTCATATATTTGATTCAATGTTCATATTTTTCCTCTGATAAGCAGCTGATCTTTCTTTATTGGTATTGGCATCGTTTGCAATATATTAAACGAGGAACAAACGACATCAGTGTCGCTGTTTGAGTTGAAATGACGTTCATGTATCCTACAATTTTACTCGAATCATTCGACATGATGACCAAAGCTGTAAGGCTAAGAATCCCATATCAGTTCTCTCGGCCTAATGCCTAATGAAATGTCGTTTGGTAATTTTTTACACATTTGTACCTTATCATCTTGTGCCGTTGTCATTGATTTACAAAGCCTTACTCTGTTGTTTCGTCGCATCAAATTTAACCGACGCAATAGTTGCTTTGTCGACATTATGAGACCAGCACAGCTTTCAAAGTGCAGAAGATATAGATTTAACTCTATTGCCTAAACCGAAACATTGCTTATAAATTGATATAACGTTTACATAAATGAAAGGTTAGTTTACCTGAGTTTAAAAATTCATATCATCCTGACGTTCTACCTTAAAGTCAAAAACCTCATTGGTGGCAAAGCAAAGATCACGGACTTATTACATATAAGGTACATAGCTCCTCTTAAAGCTAACAATGCAAGTTTTAAAATTTCCATATTTCCATATTTTTTTAGAACAATTTCAAGATCCCTCCCCCCCTAAGATAACGATGTCTTTTATCGCAATGGCGGCGCAACACGACTAATATACATATTATATAATATATATATTGCATAAGAACATTTACTCGTTCTCATTTTTTTCTTCTGAGTAACTGAAAAACATGGAAATGGAGGTTGAACATGTAGCTATGATAAACAGACACAAATGAATAAGCAAATAAATAAAAAGGGCAAACCCTACTTTGTTCTTCCAGAGTACAGAAATTAATTTTTTTTATATAAGCCTCTTTTCCAATTATTTCTTTCAGAAAAAACTCGCTGGTCAAACGTTTTCACAATCTACAGTATTTTTCAAGACAGAGTAAATTGGTTGTGTCTAGAAATCTGTGTTTCAAAATACATGTGATGGACTGTAGGGAATTTGCTTTGTTTTATTTTAATTCTTTTTTTTTTAAAGGTATAATCTTGTAAAACTGAGAAGTTCTAATCATTTTCAAGCAACTTTGCATCCTGCAGGAAACAATATAACTGTGACCTAATCATAAGATGCTTCAACACATTATATTAAAACCGTTTGATAAGTACTAATGCTTCAATTCAATCATAACGCTAAGTGCCAAATCCTGTGCAGCCTTGTTTTGTAGTTCGACTGGAAGAGTCTAAAGGTTGACAACATGCGGAAAGACGACTGGCAAATCTGCAGAGATGTACTATGAACATGCCTCTAATTACAAGAATCTCAGTTGTGATTTGATATATACCTTAGCTGTGACGTAATCAACCTGTCGACCTGGAAGATCACACTTAGTTCCCACCATAACCACCACCAGATCACGAAACCCGCTCTCTTCTACGCTTCTCAACCAGATCTTCTCGATGTTTTCAAAACTGGGCTATTAATAATATTGCAATACCTTCCATCATACTATACAAATATCTATCTACACTTACAACGTTGATTCTGTATCTGGAGTAATCAATAAACGGATATAACAAAGTCGATATCAACTTAGTCAATTATTGATTTACATAAAGTATAATTATGAAAATGAAAGTACAATTTAGCTGAAATCACCACAAATATAATGACCAATGAAATAGAATTATTAAAACATAGTAATAGGAAATCAGTTTTCATGTGTGTATGTATTTCAATTATATTCATTGTAGCTGGTCTGATTCAGATCAGCACTAGATTAATGTTATACTTTACCATACAGGAGTGAGCTGCAAAATTACCTTGTCTGTAACGTCATACACAATAATCACTCCGTGACAGAACATATATAAAGATTTACGGGGACCCATGTACCGCTCACCTCCGTAGGTATCCCACTGAAACGAAAATTCTCATAGTAATTTATTTGACATAAGGATAAGGAACATGTTATATGTATTTATAAAAAATATTATTCTTTCATGAATAAAAGATAAACTTTGATTTACGAAATCTGATTTTCCAACTGTCATTGTTATATTCTTACCATGATTTAAATAATCGTTTGACTCTGTTGTATCTAACTTTAAATTCATTAAAACGTGCTGATTATTTGTGTATCTTTTATACAATCCTTGAGATAGTAGGTCGTAAACACTGCTGGTGAGGTTTGCCAAAAATTGTATGCCACGTTTTCAATAATTATAATTATTGTACGGTGCAGACCATACAAATGTACTTGACGCTGTTCTAAAATATTCTGAATTACCTGACATATGAAAATAAAAAAATTTATTTAAATTATCAAAAGGTGCTTTTTATTCGTGTATTAAGAACAACCTAAATAGGAATTCCGCTTCCTAAATCTTTCATTTTTTCATAATTCAATTAATTCCTTCCCTTTCAGCACTTCTTAGTGTTCCCTCTTACACGTTCAGCGATACAATATGTCGTGAAACCTCAGATAAAGTGAAACAATAAGCTTATATATCGAAAGAAGATTTACTGTACCAGTCTTAAGTTGATTTCTGAGTTGTCAATCCACACATCCTTAACATACTGTAAAATTATAGTAATATGAAATATAGTTGTTATAGACACATTGCACAATAAAATCAATTAAAAATAAATGGATAAAGGCTTTCAATACATCAGTCGAACGTGTAAATTGCGTGTTTGAGTATTTGAGCTTAAATTCAACTGTGAAATCATTGAGCAAATATGCCGTCATCAAAAATATTTCAGGTATTAGATTTGTGTTTCGTTACAGATATGTGAACAAATATGCTTACAATATCGCAGCCCATTGTGGCTATGGTTTTGGCATATGTCCCTTCCTGAAATAAAAACATCAAGTTTGTTTTATTGAACGCTATATATTTTATATATAACGAATTAAAGACTATAGTGTTAGATGTATCGCCAGAGTTTCCCGTACCGTAGAGCAATAACACAATAAAAAAATCCCCAAGGTCATCATGAGGTCAAAAATTTTCACAAAGACTTCGACGTGTGATTGACATATAAATCCTACAGTTCCGTTGACTTGAAGATTTCTGTCCAAAAAACTTAATCCCCCGACGCCATTCCCCACCAGAAATTCACCAATACTCTCTGCACAGATATAATACTGTTTGTTATCTGTTTGAAATGTAAAAAAATACCCGACACACCGAACCAATTCTGGGGATGTCCTTGTGAAATAGAATGACATGGTGTTTTTGCTTACGCATGTTCGGTCGTATTTAAGTTACTAATTCTCTCATGTCGGATGATATCAATACTTGTCACCTCGTGATGCTGTAAAATAGTTAAGTTACGTATTATACTGACAAACCGTATTAACTGCACACGTCTTCTTTACCTATCTAAAGAATATTTGAAATAGAATATAAGGTGAGACATTCTAGTATCCATTAGATAATGTATTTATAAATATCATGTATTGATATTATAGGCCCATGATTGCCATGTGACACAAAATGATATCTATATATTTCTGTGACCATCTTTTTTTTCTGTTTTTCTAGTCATGATTAGCAATGGGAGATATATTGATCCTTACCACAAATCGACGGATAAAGCTTGTCTTTCCAGCGTTGTAGTCACCAAGCAACATCAGATTAAGATAAATGCATCTTTCCCTGTAAATTATATAAAATTATAACTGCAACATTAAGATATAAAAACAGGGTGAGCTAAGTTAAAGGTTAATTCACCGTATATTATAAAATGTGACCATTGATGTGATTTAAGCATCCTTACTATCAGCAAAGCAAAGCTGACTCATCAATACAATGATAATGGGTTTTCATTTAACTCTTAATTAGGAAATATAGAAAACAATGAAGAATTAATGCAATTTCTGAGGAATATAAAGTCAAATTAAATTCCAAGTTATATCAAGTATGAAAATATTAGTTATAGAATGTCTGTCATCGACAAAATTGTTATCGAACGCAGATATAAGATTCTGTTGGTGAACAAATGTAGAAAGCAGATATCCGAAGGGATACAATAATATTGTATATGTAAACATTAGCATTAATAATATAGGTTTATATATATATATATATACTCAACAAAAAAAGAAAGGGGGTTACCAAAATCAATCAAGCGTGAAAGTCTGTATTAGCGAAAGAGTTGCACGAGGTTTTCTGCGACTAACTTGTATCTTCGCTTGAATTTCATAAACATTCAAACTGACAACTGTTCCTGAGATCCTTAGGACTTAGAAATCACCGAATCTTGCTATCTATCAACTTTATCATTATGCCCCGGCTGTCACAAGTACAGAGAGAAAGGGCTATAGGCATGATCCAGGCTGGAGAGTCTCGCCGTCGAGTTGCACGGCATTTTGGTTGCAGTGTTAAGACAATTTGCAAGTTGGTAAGTCGTTTACACCAAACTGGATCAACATCCGATCGTCCCCGAAGCGGCCGACCCTGTAAAACGACCGCCAGAGATGACCGTCGTATACGATTGATACACTTGCGCTATGGATTCGTAACCGCAGTAGACACCACAAGGACATTGTTTGGGCGTCGTGTGTCTCCCCAAACAGTCCGCAACAGGTTGAGGGCCTACCATTGGAAAACGCGGCGTCCCTACACTGGACCCAATTTGTTGAGACGTCACCGTAATAATCGGCGTAACTGGACCCGTGTTCACCGTCGTTGGGCCTTACGACAATGGAACAATGTTCTGTTTTCAGATGAGTCCAGGTTTTGTCTGCAACACGGTAACGGAAGGCGCAGAGTGTGGAGGCGACGAGGGGAGCGTTTTGCGAACTGCTGCGTCGCAGAACGGGACCGCTTTGGCGGCGGAAGTGTAATGGTTTGGGGTGGTATTTGTGGGGGGACTCGTACCAGGCTTGTTGTGTTAAATGGCAATTTAACCGGCATTCGATATCGGGACGAAATTTTAAGACCAGTGGTTCTGCCATTCTTAAGACGCCATGGCGTTGGTGCCATTTCCCAACAGGATAACGCACCAGCGCACACCAGACGCGTCAGCAGAACTTTCTTGCAGCAGAATAACGTACAGGTGTTAGATTGGCCATCTAAATAACCTGATTTGTGACCGATTGAGCATGTCTGGGACGTTCTTGTGCGACGTGTGAGAGAACGTCAAAATCAGCCGTCAAACTTGCAGGAGCTGGCCCTAGCCTTGATCGCTGAATGGAACAACATCTCTCCTCGAATTATCCGCCGGTTTACGAGTTCCATGGGACGACGCTGCAATACTGTTTACTTCGCAAACGGTGGCCATACCCGTTACTAATGATGTTACCTTTGAAATTGACCCCAACGTCCTTTACAGTCGGATAAAATCAACTGAACGCAAAGTTTTATAGTGAACCATGACTGCAGTTTTATCAGAATTGATCAATTACTTTATTCGTACATGATTGGTAAGGATTTATGAAGGGATTAATTAATTAATCACAGAATAAAGTAGTGTTACCTTTCTTTTTTTTTGTTTAGTATATATATCTATCTATATATACAAAATATATCTTCAATGCAGAAGGATCAGGGACTTTTTCCGGTTATCCAGCCTCCTTCCGCTCTATAATCACCTATGAGCGGCAATCTGAGCCTACACGACTGATTCATACCAAAGATAAAATGCCTTGTTTCTTCGTAATTATTGTAAAACCCACTAAGTTGTCATGCTCTTGCATGCATTTAATTAGTTATTGTGCACAGTGTCAGATACTGTTATTCATATGTGTACACTACATTAATGCCATTATCGGAATTATATGTAAGTTACACGTAAGTGGAGGATGCGGGGTTGTGTTAAGATGTCTCTTTGATCGGAGAAAATTTTGCCACGAATGCACTGAGTTTGGCTGTCAGTATAGTAAATCTTACAGTGATCTCCTCTATCTAATACGCTTCATTTCACTTATTTGTTATGTTTCACACACTATAAGATAAATTTGAGAATAGAGTTGAATGGAAGTGGGAAAATTTTCTAATTTACTAATCGTGTACAAACGTGTTTCTACTTTCGTATATAAAGACAGGGATTGTATTTATAGAGCCACATGTCTGTTTGTAAACCTGGTAAGCACATTTGTGAATACATATGTGAATGGATTGAATGTTTGTTTCGTAAATTTTCTTAAAGGTATTTATTCGTTGCAGATTTTCTATGAGTCAATAAATATAGAAAACTCATGTGTTAATGTCTATATTATTCACACCGAGTCTACATTTGAGAACTGTTATCGTGCACGGCTTCCATAAAACTCGACACATGTGTAGTATGTGTAGTCCGACGGCTGTGATACAAACATAATGCAAGTACACATACCTAGTCAACCAGTATCGGAATGTGTAAAGGGGGGACACTAAGTACTAATGTTCC